AAAATACCTGAAATACTGATTCATCTGACCACTGTACACGTTTCCACTGTGTGATGTTCCATCCCAGATGCCTCCGAGCCCAAAGAAGTCAACAGCACGTCTGGACACTGCTAAGATAGGGCTTCTTTTTGGCACAGTCCAGTTTTAACTGGCAGTTGTGGGTGTAACTATGTATTGTGGTATTTGACAAAGGTTTGCCGAAGTCCTGAGCCCCGCTGGTGATATCACTTATAAATAAATGGTAATTCTTGATGCAGTGCTGCCTGAGAGATGGGAGATCACGGTTGTTCAGCTTAGGCTTTGCACTCTTGTCCTTTACACACTAAAATTCCTCCAGATTCCTTGAATCTTTAATAATGTTCTGCACTGTTGAAATGTCCAAATGTCTTCCTATCTTTCTTTGTGGAACGTTGTTTTTAAACAATTCAATTTCCTCACAAATTTGTTGGCAAAATAGCGATCCTAGGCCCATCTTTGCAACTAAAGGATTAGATCTTTCTTGGATACTATTTCTGTACCAGATCGTAATTACAATCACCTGTTGACATCACCTGTTTCAAATGACATCCTTTAACCAATTTACTTGATTACTAGCCCTAAACTGTTCCTGTCCCAACATTTTCAGTAATGTGTTGACGGTTTAAATGACAGGAAAGGATGTATATTTACAAATGAAATGAAGTTGACCAGGCGAAACACGAAACATTTTGTGTTCATATTGTCTGCAATGAAATACAAGTAAAACTACATTTTGAAATCACTACTTTCTTTTATTTGCATTTTCCTACTGTCCCAACTTTTTTTTGTTTTGGGGTTGTATAACATCACATAAAAAATGACAGTTCGCTACTCATAGAACCTATTGTCATTTATTTATTAAAGGCAGAATGAAGACGTCGATCAGTGTGATGTCAAATAACATGCCTCAAATCTCTGAGAAGAAAAGGGCACATGCAGCAAAAAGAAATACAAATAATAAAATAAAATCATTCCTCTACATGATTTTTTCATGCACACTTTTTTTAAATCAGAGGGAAAAACAGTACCATGGCAATCTGTGGAATCTCAACAATCATAGCAATGGTATGAATATTCATACAAAAATACATTTTTTAAACCTGCAATCACAGTGAAAGCCCTACAACAAATCAACATCAGTGTGAATAACCCAGGGCCATCATCTGAGCATCTACTCCACTCAATCCAATTAAACTTCCCTTAGAAACAAAATAAGACCTTAATCTTATGCTTTATTTATTTTTATTTACACACTGCTTAAATCTCTGCAGTTTAATTCACATAGCAATTCAGGAATCAGTGTATAAACCATACGAACTGAGATCCGACACAAAACCAAATACACGCTACAGAGAGAAGGGACAATGCAGTGAATTATATGAAAAGTAGTCAAGTCTCTGGATTCACAGTTAAATCTTCACCCATAACCATTTAAACCTGGTTTTACCAGACATTTTGGAAACATTCTAAAAAAAATAGATAAATAAAAATAAAATCACATGACATGACATACAGCTACCGGTTCATCTTGGAGAGTTTTTATTAAATAAAATAAAGGTGACTTGATTTGACCCCAGACGCTGTTAGAGACAGTTCATCCAAAACTGAAAATTTGCAATTAAAGGGTTAGCTCACCCAAAAATGACAATTCTGTTCATAATTACTCAAGTTGTTCCAACTGCTTGATGGTTTAGAACAGTGGTCACCAAACTTGTTCCTGGAGGGCCGGTGTCCTGCAGATTTTAGCTCCAACCCTATTCAAACACACCTGAACAAGCTAATTAAGGTCTTACTAGGTATACTTGAAACATCCAGACAGGTGTGTTGAGGCAAGTTTAGGGTATAGGGTATTAACACAATATCTATATAGCACAGGATTGAGCGAAAGAATATAATAAATAATTTAAATTAAAATGTATTAAGGACCCGGAGGGACTAAGACTGGAAGCAGGAGGAGCTGAACACGCAGTGCCAGCTGACAGCTGAGTCCTGATGGAGAAATTTAGGTAAGCATAATAGTATATATAGATATAGATAGATATGAACTGTAGGTGGTGGTATGTGCATTTTACACCAGCCCGCTAATAAAACTTAAGAAGAAGAAGAAGTGTTGAGGCAAGTTGAAGATAAACGGCCCTCCAGGACCGAGATTGGTGACCCCTAGTTTAGAACATGAATTATGATATGGTAGATGAAACCTGAGAGCTCTCTTATTTCCCATATACAGCAACGATGCTGAAATGCCCATAAAAGGAACTAAAACATTGTCAAAACATTCCATGTGGCTTCAGTGGTTCAACTGTAATCATATTCAGTTCATATTCATACTCCAAGAACATTTTTGTGCACCAAACAAACTCTAGAAATTACTTTATTTGCTTATCAAGGACAGTATAGTGTATTGTCATTAGTGTCAGCAGTGCAACGCACAAGGCTCGTAGCCACCATGATGCAACGTGGAATACAAAGTGTTTTTACAGTATTTTGGTGCACAAGCGTGTTCTTGGAGCTTCGTATAATTACAGTAAACTACTGAAGTCACATGAAATGTTTGGGCTCCTTTATAAATCATACTTAGTCTTATGCTTTTAAACTCTATGAATAACTTTATTTGCTTTTGTCTTCTATTTTAAGACATGTCAGGGTGCGTGTTTATTAAGGGCAGTGCAATGTATTGACACAAGCATCGTAGTGCCGATAGTAAATGCAAACCATGATGCAATGTGGAATACAAAGTTGTTTTTACAGTATTTTGAAGCACAAACGTGTTCTTGGAGTTTCACATAATTACAGTGAACATCTGAAATCACATAAAATGTTTTGAAAAATGTTTGGGTTACTATCCTGGACTTTGAAAGTCTTGTAACCACTGCTGTTTATGGAGGATGAGAGAGCTCCTGGATTTCATCTAAAATATCTTAATTCATATTTTGAAGATGATCGAAGGTCTCAGGAGATTATTGATTATTTTGGGGAAACTAAAACATTATCAAAAACATTCTTGTCAGCGCAATAGCCTAGTGGTTAGCGCACTGACATATGGTGCAATAGCACGTCAGGGCGTCGCGAGTTCGAATACCGGCTCGACGACATTTCCCTACCCTACCCCCTGTCTCTCTCTTCCTGTCTAAAATCTGTCCTATCTTATAATAAAGGCAAAAGGCCAAAAAAATTAATCTAAAAAAAAAAAAAAACAACATTCTATGCCACTTCTTTAGTTCAACTGTAATCATAAAAAGCTCCAAGAACATTTTTGTGCTGCAAAAAACTCTATTAATGACTTTATTTGCTTTTGTCTTCCATTCTAAGACAGGTCAGGGTGCGTGTTTAATTAAATGCAGTTCAATGTTTTGACACAATCGTAGTGACGATAGTAAATGCACACCATAATGCAACATGAAATACAAAGTTGTTTTACAGTATTTTGGTTCACAAACATGTTCTTGGAGCTTCGTATAATTACAAGTGAACATCTGAAGTCACATGAAAAGTTTTGAAAAATGTTTGAGTTACTATCCTGGACTTTGAAAGTCTTGTGACCATTGCTGTCTATGGAGGATGAGAGAGCTCCTGGATTTCGTCTAAAACAGTTGTCACCAAACTTGTTCCTGGAGGGCCAGTGTCCTGGAGATTTTAGCTCCAACCCTAATCAAACACACCTGAACAAGCTAATTAAGCTCTTACTTGGCATACTTTAAACATCCAGGCAGGTGTGTTGAGGCAAGTTGGAGCTAAATCCTGCAGGGACACCGGCCCTCCAGGACTGAGATTGGTGACCCCTGGTCTAAAATATCTTAATGCACATTTTGAAGATGATCGAAGTTCTCAGGAGATTGTTAATTGTTTTGGGGTGAATTAATCCTTGTATTTGCTCACTTTAAGGCTAAGATATAGGTGTCTTTAGTAGTCTCAGTAGTTTTAAGGTAGTTGATAATTCATAAAATGCAAGTTAATGGCTAACGACACTTTGAGAGTTAAAATAAACATAGAGGGAAAAGAAAACGAATACTCCTGATGACACATGACTAATCGTTGTTAACTTTAGTTAAGTTAAACGTTAACTATTAATGTTAATCCTTAGCATTAACTAATCTTACCAAGCCCAACTTTGGATGTTAATAATGCATCATTTTATTCATTTTCCTTCAGCTTAGTCTCTATTTCAGAGGTCGCCACAGCAGAATGAACCACCAACTATTCAGCACACATTTTTAATAATCCACCAATAAATGTTAAACAATACATAATAAAATAAATACATGAACTAGCGGACCGTTATTATATTTAGAAATACATCATACAGTCTGTGAACCATTATTTCCAATGGTTTTAACCTTCTTGTCACATAACGAAACTGTTTTCAACAGACAGGGAGGACACATGTGCTGTACTGTTTATCAAAACGGTATTTGTGCTTATTCTAGATGCTGTAAACTATATAAATAAGCTGGTAACACATTACATTAGTTATAGGTTACATTAGTTAATGTATTTAATAACATGAACATTTAGTTTTTATTCAACTTTGTTTATGTATGTCAATGAAACTAAGTCCATCTGTCTTAGTTTTTAACTCTCAGTGCATTACCTAGTGTTAATAAGCACAACTTTGGAATTATTAGTAAATGTTGAACAATGATAAGAGTATTGCTCGATAGTTTTTAGTTTGTGTTAGTAAAAACATGAATTATCATTAGTTAATGGAATTTTATTGTAAAGTGTGACCAAAAAGATTAATATACATCATTATGCGACAGGAAGTTCACTCTCCTTACTGGTGCGAATGCACTTGAATCTCAAGACTGATTACTGTTAATTGATTGTTTTGCATTAGACCTCAGCGCATCATCACTAGCCATGAAAATGTATTTAGTATTAACTCTCAAAGTGTTCAATTCATTGCATTTTTTAGAATCACCAAGGACCAGAGATTCAGCTAAAAATCATCTTTAAATGTTTTACTAAAGGAAAAGGAAGTCAGCTACATCTTGGATAGCTTTATTGTGAGTAAATTTTAATTTGGATGTACTGTCGCTTTAAATGTGTAGCACAATGCATTATTAATGATCTGTACAAACCAAAGGCACACATCCTTACTATAAAACACATCTCAAACTTGTTTTGGGTATTGTTACACATATTCCAGAGTCAGCGATGTTGGATCAGTCGTTTCCTCTTGCAATCTGTTGGATCTTCATATTTCTAAACGAATATGTGGTACCGAAGAAAATGGGAGTGTTATGAACAGAATTGGTGATTTATTATTGTTTGTTGTCTTCCCAGAGTGGAAGTCTTTTCACCAATGCTTTGTGATCGACTTTCATGCTGGCTAACAGACCGCCCTTGTTTCCTTCTAACCCAGAGTAATCAATCTGCTCTCCTTTCAGAGTCGTCATCTGACCACCGAGAGACTTCAGGATGGCGTCGCCCGCACAGATATCCCACTTTTTGATGTATGTGACGTGGATGTAGATATCAGCAGTCTCTTGTTTGTCATCAGTGGGGTTTAGGAGAGCCAGTGCCTTATATCCTTAAGGGAGAAACAAAGACAGTTTAGAACTTAAGGTCATATCAGCCTTTAATAGCTATTTTATGGTAAACACCGATCAAATTTACAAATGGTTTATAAATATTACTTTTTATAATACATAGGTTTATAACTATAGGTGGGCATAGATAAATTTTTTCTAATCTAAATTATTCTCACTGTAATCTTGGAATTATTCTAGATTAAAATGGTTTTTATTTATTATTTAAAATATGTGCGCTACCCAAATAATGACTTAAATTAAGTCTCTGAAAACTTGTTTCTCAAGCCAGGTGGCGCATTAAACCAGGGGCTCATCTCCTGTTTCCCAAATTGCATCACAAACTGCTTGAGAAACTGTTCTACTATGATAATTGGTGATGAAAATAAATGATGTTCAATTAGATGTACTTGTGTTTACTAACTGTTTATTCAGTTAAACATGAATTGTGAACGGTGGCCTACATAAGATCCAAACCACGTTTTTGATCACCTTAATCCGACTAAAGTCATAACTGAACTAAACAGAAATGGAATTAATTAGGGCTGTGCAATTAATCGAAAATCCCATTTCGATTTCGATTATGGCTTCTAACGATTATGAAAAACCATTAATCGAGATAAACGATTATTGCATCATATACCAAAAGCGCGAAAGACCGCGTGCTTATGTGAGTGTGCAACAAGGGCACACACATAAGCATAAGCACGGTCAGCATTCGGTCTCATTCGCACACTGAGACGAGCAGAGGAGCGCAGACATCTAAAGTAATCTTAACATGAGCGCTTTTATGGTCAAATAGGTGTCAACGCGGTGATTAGTGATTATTCATATTAACCCTCATTTGCGTAATAAACAAATGTGTTAAGAATCAAAAGACACGTAAAAGAGAAACCATTAAAGTGACAGTGCGAAATGCTGCCGCCTGTTTTATCATTAATTAAACGACGAGAACTTCCCTTACTGCTCCTGACTGAAGGATTTTTGTAGCTAAAGTGCTTTTCTTAGGGTGAAGATGCTTAAATCACAGTTTGTTTTATATTTTTATTCTATTGTATTTATTTCTCTTTCCTTTGCAGGGTGGAAAATAACTATATATATATATATATATATATATATATATATATATATATATATATATATATATACAGTTGAAGTCAGAATTATTAGCCCTCCAGAATATTAGCAACCCTTTTCCTCCAATTTCTGTTTAATGGAAAGAAGTTTTTTTTAAACTTATTTCTGAACATAATAGTTTTGGTATATCATGTCTAATTACTGATTTGTTTTATCTTTGCTATGATGACAGTACATAACATTTTACTAGATGTTTTTCAAAATACAAGCATTTAGATTAAAGTGCAATTCAAAGGCTTAATTAGAGTAATGAGACAAGTCATTGTATAACAGTAGTTTCTTCTGCAGACAATCAAAAAATATATTGCTTAAGGGGGCTAATAATATTGACCTTAAAATGGGTTTCAAAATAATTAAATCTGCTTTTGTTCTAGCTAAAATAAAACAAATAAGACTTTCTCCAGAAGAAAAAAAATATTAGAGGAAATACTGTTAAAATTCCTTGCTCTGTTTAACATTTTGGGAAATAGTTATTTAAAAAAAAAAAAATTCTCAGGAGCGCTAATAATTTTGACATCAACTGATGATCGTTTAGAATAATCGTGATTACAATTATGATAAAAATAATCGTGATTATGATTTTTTCCTATATCGAGCAGCTCTAGAATTAATACATGTGAAGTATGCATATATTAGTGACATTACTGAAGTAAACACAGCAATCAAACTATTATCGTCATGTAGGATTTATCATCATATTTTCTGACAAGATTCTGTAAAGGACCACACACACACATCGCGAAATGCAGAAGATTTTTGTTTCCAGTTGGCGTGCATTATTAAACTCCATAACACTCTCACCAGTCCTTACTCCTTATTTGCGTCTAACACCCTAGTTTGTCACGGGGGCATTAATGAAATGTTCATGAGTTAAAGTGAAACTGCCAAACTGCAGTTGAAGTCACCCAAAATTACAGGAAACTCTTACATGTAAGCACTTCATATAAACACCTTAATTATATTATTGTCTATTAAGGCAAATGACTAGACTACAGATTTCCATGTAGCTGTAGTCAGTAGGGTCTTCGAAGAAAGTGAAGGTTTCAGAAGGACATCCTGCTGATTTGATTCAGAAGGGCACTTTTTTGTCAGATGCTCACCGGTTTGACTTTCATTCACCGTCATTCATTTTAAAAAGCACCCGGTCCATTTTATTTGTGTATGTTTTACTCGAACGCATAAACTCTACAGGTGCCTGATAGTTAGATATAAAGCTAACATTAATCAGATTCACTCTAGTGAACTGCATCCATGTTAGCACGTCACGTTTGATGTGGTAATTTCACAGTAGCAATACACACATGTTCGAAGACTCGTTCTCGCCCCCTACAGTGCAATTCAGCCAGGTATACGTCTGAGCAAAAATATCAAGGTGAAAGTCATCATAGCTTGCGTAGAATAGACCGTGCTCCCAACCCAACTTTGAGAATAGATTAACGGCGATATTTTTCACTGTTAACACAGCAAGTTAACGACGATAACGACCCACCACTACTAAAAACAAACATCAACAACAATAAAAAATACATAATATAAGATGTAAAAAAATATATATAAAACAGCTTTTTAAGTTTTATTTTTGGTTAAAATAAATTTATTTTCAACTTTTCTCCCTTTTTTCATCCGCTGGTGCATATTATTATAAATAGAATATGATTGTAGTATGATAGTAGTAGTTAATTATCATTTTTATCATTATATTAAAAAAAATAATTAAGTAGCATTATATTACATTTCATTACATTATACAATTCAAAACTTTTGAGGTGGAACTTTTGGCGGTTAATATTTAAATTTCTCTTAGACATATTAAATACCTTAAACCTGAGGCAGAAATGTCAATATTTGGTATAACATCACACTTATGTTTTAATAAAAGTAAGGAAAACGTGATTGCCTCTGCAATGCTTGTAGCTAGAAGGTTAATATTGCTCAAATGGTCAATACTGATTAAATGCTCTTCAACTGTTTGGGCCTTCAACTGGCTTATGGGCCTTTTACACCACTTGACCTTAGAAAAAAATATGATATGCTATAAGAGGATGTACTGATTTGTTTTATTGTACTTGGCAACCTGTTTCAGATCACAAAAAAAAATCTCTTTCTCTTTCTTCTCTTAATTCCTTTTGTATAATATTCTTTTTTTTATTTCACGGTTTATATTTTTACTGCTACAATTCCAAGACTTTTCCAGAGCTTTCAAGTACATTTTTATAACGTAATGTTTCATGTAATGTCTACATATACAAGGTAAAATTATAAGAAAAACAATGACGTTCAAATTTATTACAGCATATCATAGAACACGCAACTATCTACTTTGTTTCAATTTGCTTTTATATTGATCTTGATAATGCTTATACAGCACTCACAATGTGAAAGCAAGTTTTTGGCCAAGGACAGAAAAAAGTAAAGACAACTAACCTATATTCAAGTTAGAACTGCACAATAGATCGCTTCAATATCGATATTGCAATGTCTGCATCCACAACAGTCACATCGCAGTATATGCAATGTTGGGATTATAGTTTAATATAGAGTTTAATCATGATGGAGTAAAAGTTTATCATCTGCATGCAGTTTTAAAGAGATAGTTCACCCAATAATTACTTAACATTTTCATTTTACCATTCACTTGTTTCAAACATTTATGAGTTTTCTTTTTTTTTTTTAAATGAACACAAAAAGAATATAATTTAATAACTCCTATAGTATTGAAACAAGTGAAGTGTGAGTAAATAGTGAGTACATTTTAATCTTTGAGTAAACTTCCCTTTAAGGCTTGTGACTGTAAATATTTCAACATTCATTCATTCATATTCTTGTCAGCTTAGTCCCTTTATTAATCCGGGGTCGCCACAACGGATTGAACCGCCAACTTATCCACCAAATTTTTACGCAGCGGATGCCCTTCCAGCCGCAACCCATCTCTAGGAAAACATTTCAACATTTTAAATTTTAAAACATCCTGCCAGAAGAATTGCTTTGTAACTTTAATAAAGATTAAATAATACACAATAAAGACTATTATTTAATATTTGTACCTGAATAGTAAATACCTGAAAACTATAATTCACTTTTATCTTTACTATATTTTATGTAAATTTTGTAATGTATTTGTTATATATTATTCAAGATTTTGTTCTTCACAAAATCCTCTCAATCAATCCAAATAAACCCGTTTAATCATCTGGTGAAATTGTATTCACAGCAATATATATCACAGACACACAAAATGCAGAAATGTCAGATTTTTCAAATATCGCGCAGCCCTAGTTCAAGTGTACATTTATTTGTTAAACAAATTACCATGAATTTTCCCAAACTTTTCCAGGACTGGAAAATGCCTTGTCCATGATGTTTCCAGGTTTTCCATGACCACATGAATCATGTTATTTGTATTTCATTTTATTATTATACATATATTTTTACAGAACCTAAAAGTATATGTGCGCGAGTTTGGTTTGCTGTCAAAAAGAAAAGTTTGAACTTTTGAACAACAAAAAAGTTGGGTTTGTTCACATTTCTGAATGTTTTTCAAATAAATCTCTTCATAATCACAAAGATTGCAGAGAAAAACAGTTAAACAGGGTTTCTGCAGATTTCACCAAGTCAAATTTAAGTCTTTTTAAGGCCATGAAAAATGAAATTTCAGACTTATATACAGCTAGACACTAAGTTTTTTTTTTAAATGGCGCAGCAGACAAAAAAATCTAATTAGTCATTATGAGTCGGAATTATTAGCCCCCCTTTGAATTTTTTTCTTTTTTAAATATTTCCCAAATGAGGTTTAGCAGAGAAAGGAAATTTTCACAGTATGTCTGATCATATTTTTTTCTTCTGGAGAAAGTCTTATTTGTTTTATTTCAGGTAGAATCAAAGCAGCTTTTGATTTTTTTAAAACCTATTTTAGGGTTAAAATTATTAGCCCTTTTAAGCTATATATTTTGTATATAGTTTATAGTTCTACACAACAAACCATCGTTATACAATAGCTTGCCTAATTACCCTATCCTGCCTGCTTAACCTAATTAACCTAGTTAAGCTTTTAAATGTCACTTTAAACTGTACAGAAGTGTCTTGAAAAACATCTAGTAAAATCATATTTATTGTCATCATGGCAGAGATAAAATAAATCAGTTATTAGAAATGAGATATTAAAAATATCATGTTTAGAAATGTGCTGAAAAAAACTCTAATAAACAAAAATTGGGGATAAGAATAAACAGGGGGCTAATAATTCTGACTTCAACTGTATATTAAATAATTTGTCAAAACAAACATAGTTGTATACATTACATACAGATTTATTCAACAAAATTTTAAAAACTAAAAGTTTTTTTTTTTTTTACAACAGACTTATACTATTATTCTATTATAATAGAGTTATACTATTAGTTATGAGTAGTTTTGCTAAAAGTTTTATTGAGATGTGTTTTAGATCGATTGGGCAGCTTTACATAAAAGAAAATTATGACCCTTTTAAAATGATTTAAGACAATATTTGAGTGAATTTAAGACTTTTTAAGACCGCGTGGATACCCTGTGATATTGTGAAATATTACCCCAATATGAAATAACTTTTTAAAAATAATAATTTTAACAATACACTTTTAAAAAAGAATTTAATCCTGTGATTCAATGGTACATTTTCAGCTTCACTGTTCCAGGTTTCATTGTCACATGACCCTTCAGAAATGATTCTAATATGCTCATTCATTGCTAAGAAAAAGGTCATTTTATTGTCAACTTATTTTAAAAAATGTGCTTAATATTTTGGTGAAACTGACACATATGTATTATCCTTTGAGGAATAGAAATGTTTAGTATAATTTTAAAAATATTTACCAATTATAATTATTTACATATTTACAATATTTATATATCATAATTGAAATATTTACCAAATTTGGGACCATTATAAAGGCTTTTAATCTCACCTTTGTTTAATGAATTAAACTCTTACTGAGCCCTGCACACATAAATAGTAATGTACATATACAAGTGAAACATGCATTTCAAACAGATCTTCAGAATGCAGTACCTGCGCCCCCTGCTGGTATGATTTCTGTATTGTTGCCGAACGCCGTCTGAACGAAGCTCTTCACTTTGCCCGCGTGAGAGCGAGAGACGATCACCTTCGGAGAGTTTGTGTTGTAGGAATCACGAGGAGCCACATTGGATCCCTCTCCAACAAAACCCCAAACTGAGGATCAGAGCAGAGGTTTGAGCATCAAAGGATGAATCCATTACAGACAAAAGATCAGAGGAGGTTTACTGATACAAACTTGATGAATATGAATAAAATGAATCAGTGACTCTCCATTTTATAGCAGTGCTAGCATTTTTCCCATTTATTTATACCTTTTTGTAAGTGTGGTAAACCTGATTCTAAATATATGTTGTTTTATGGGACCACACTGCAAAAAAAAAAAAAAAAAAAGTATTTTATTAGATTTTGTCTTCTAGTCCAAATGTCTAAAACTCTTAAATCAAGAAGCATTATCTACACAGGCAAAACATATTCTCTTGTTAAAACAACCAATAATACCAATAACCAATAATAATCTGCCAATGGGGTGAGCAAAAGAATAAACAAGACTATTTTGCCCACTCGTGTCCATTATTTTGCTTGTTTTAAGAAAAAACTCACTTAAAATCACATATTATTTCTTAAAACAAAAGTATAGCTTGTCTACGATATGGTTCTTGATTTAAGAGTTTGTACATATTTGGACTAGAAACAAGACAAAGACTCTAAGGCACAGGTGTCAAACTCAGTTCCAAAAGGGCCGCAGCTCTGCACAGTTTAGTTCCAACCCTAATTAAACACACCTGATCAAACTAATTGAGTCCTTCAGGCTTGTTTGAAACTTACAGGTAAGTGTGTTGGAGCAGGGTTGGAGCTAAACTGTGCAGGGCTTCGGCCCTCCAGGAATTGAGTTTGACACCCCTGCTCTAATGTGAGGAAAGCATTTTTTGCAGTGCATAGTGAATTATGGGTATTTAGGTTACTATGTTTGTTATTAATCTTTGTTGTTAATCTGAAGCACAAGCAGTTTCTTAGCTTGTTACTTGCAAAACGAATTATTTTACAACATTTGGAGTCAAAGGGAGTACTAAGATTTGACATGTGGATAGTGAAAGATATTACATTTAGAAAAGAAATTAAATAAACGTTTCATTAAAGAAAGGAAAAGGCATGTTTTTTGTGCATGTGGGATTTATTCATTAAACTGTTTGACAAATCTGCAGATTGTGTTGGCACATCACAGTTTTTGTGGTGTTTGTATTTATTTATTTTTAATTTAACATTTTATTTAGAAATCATGGCTTGTTTTTTTGTTGTTAATACTGTCTCAAGTACGCTGTTATGCAACCACCAGTTTGTAAAAAAAATAATAATAATAATTGTACAAAAATTTATAATATTAATAATCCAAATAATAATAATAACAATTGTGAACAGATTTAACAACAGCAAAAATAGATTAAATCTTGGAACTCACACCAGGTTTGACTTTAAAGGCTTATCAGTAATTATAATACAAAATTTCCTTATGAAGAAAATTAGCTTTAATTCCAGAACCAGACTATTGTGCTCAATAATGATATAATGCTATTGTATTGACATTTCCCTGCTAACCGTTAAGCATTGTGTGATTCTTTTAAAAAAACTACTGTTTTTATGTTAAAAACTAACATTATTTAAAGGGATACCTCACCCAAAAATGAAATTGTGCTGAAGTGGTTCTTAATTTTTAAGAATTTCTTTTTTCTGTTGAACACAAAACAAAACATTCTGAAGAATTGTAGATAAAAACAGCCTTTAACATCCATGGTAAAAAAAAATACAGCAAAATATTGAAAGTCAATGGCTATCTTTCCATCCAAATATGCAAAATAAATTTATGCAGATGCTCTTGACAATTCTGGAGGAAATTAATAGTATAATAAAACTAATACTGGCGTTTTAGAATGACCAAAACAACATTTCAGATGTTTTACAATGTGCTCAGCCTGCTGGTTTGTCCATTCACACACATTTTTATAATCACATGATCTCTTATAACAAAATCTCATAACCTTTTTTTAATGCGCATACTGGAATTTGTTTGGTAAAAGTGTTTCCATCGTAGTTTATGCACATCTTATCGATTAAAAAGTTTATTTTACTGTATTGTTATGTGCATTTTCTAAATTTTTGCGCATGTTGCCGTTTCCATCTATCAATTTTTTATGCGCATCTCCAAAATACACATAAAAATAGGTGGATGGAATACTGTAGCTAATGACATTCTTCAGTAAATCATCTTAAAGATTAAAAAAAAAAAAAAAACTTTTAACTAGAGGAGGATGAGTAAATGAGTCATTTTTGGGTGAATGACATCCATTTTGATATCTTCACTAAATAAGTCATATATTTGAACAGAATTGCTAAACATTTGTAAATGCTGCTTAACAAAAATGATCACACTGTGCTTTAAAAATGCACTGGTTAAGGCAGAGATTACCATTAACTACCATTAATAAATGCTGCAGAAGTGTTTTACATTGTTAGATAATGTTAATGTTCCAAAATGAAACAATCTTACCAATAATCACATTTTTATGTCATCATTAATGCATAAAAAAAGAAAAACTATAAATGTTTTATTTTTCTTAACGTCATACTATTGCCAGAATAGCTCTTGGATTAAGGATCTGTTAGTTTGGTTTTAAAAATGTCTGTGGAGCTCAAATAGACACACCTGTGTACCCAGTGAAGGGTTTATGGATCACACCTATAACAGGTTCCCCGTCCACAGCCACACACACCATGGTTGTGACATACTTCAGGAGATTTTCTGTTGAAAGCACAAACAGGATTTACATCCTGGTACAGCACATGTGCGCTACAGAAACATAAAACCAACCATTCCTCCTAGGACAACAACAGTCTCGCACAGACAATAGGCAAACAATGAGGTGATTCAATGTTTTATATTTCCTCTTGATCCTCTCTCGCAGCTGATTTACAACAGAAATAAAGACTTGCCACAAACCTGTGTATTCCTGAGTGGCGTCCAGTGGATCAATCCAGACTGTGATCTTTTCTGCAGGAATCTCCTTCCCGCCTGAGACTTTAGCAAGAATATCTTCAGGGATCATTCGTGTCCACACTGTGGCCTCACCTTCAGCGTTCGCGTGCTCTTCTGAGTTTACCTGTGGAAGTAAATAAAACACATTTTGAAGAACAATCACAAAGTAAAACACTACTATGAACATCATAAGGTTACAGGTTTTTTGTTTTCATGCTTCGCGCCACAATTATTCATTTATGGGAGAACATGCATCTGTTAATAGATTATATATTTTGGCCACATATAAAGCACTGGGTTTTTACATTTTAAAATAAATACACAGAAAAGTATTTATATGTGATCATTTTACTCATGTTATTAGGAACTTAGACCATAATAGAAAATTTTTTTACTAAGCTGAAATTCAAACCATTTCCCTGATGACGTTTGACAGTCGCCAAATCAGTTAAATAAATGAGCAAACTATCAAATAATACCTGTCATGAGTATAACCACATTCACCATCGGGAGGCGCTATACTCACTCTCGCAGGAGAAATTTGCTTTCACTCAGTAGGTACTGCATTTGAATTTAAACATACTACTCGGCCATTAAAAAAGTATGCTCTATTCAGTATGAATGTGAAAAGTATGAATGGAATTCAGACGTACTACATCCGCCATTTTGTCATGGTCACGTGACCTACCTGCGTCAGTTGCGTCGCCTCACTTCCATTTATGAATTCTCTCACGGGGCATTATGGGATAGCGCACCGTGCATGGGATGCACACTTCAGAATCTCGCCGGAAGTAGTAAGTCATCCGGGTACTTCTCGCCTACTGATTTTCGAATTCTATGAATTCGGGACATACTACTCGGCTCGCATACTGATTTTACCGTACTATATAGTATGGAAGTAGGGCTGGACAATTTTTCGAATTTACGTTTTAAGACGATTTAATTTTGAATCAAATCGAGAAATCACGATTTTCTAAAAAATATATATATATTTAATACATTATAATGGCACCAATGCGCTTTGGTTCACTCTCTATATGAAGCAGGAAGCACACCAGAAGCGCCTCTCGGCTACGCGCAGCACCATGCAGTGGCATGGATTTTAGAATTCTAAACAGGTTTCTATACACACACCGACACCGCACAGCCACAATTCACAAAGCAGTTCATATTTCAGCCAGCCCACAGAGCGCCATCTGATTAGAGCGTGAAGCGATCTGTTAAAGCGTGAAGTCATGTAGGATTTTACTTGTTGCACGTCTGTGTGGATTGTCAAGACATTCCCTCATCAAGTCGATAAACTCGATCTCAACCTGTATGAAGAACGTAAAAGCCTGCCATGTGAAAAACCGCGCCGATCTTTTGGTTTAAACACGAGTACAAGTGAGGGACTGTAGCAGTGAAAATGAAAGTACCCGCCCCCATGACGTCATTTAGCGGACCTAGTTGAAAACCAGACAGATCAGGCAGCATAATACAGAAAGTGGAGCAAAGCGCATAAAATAGATTACATTTATTATTTTATATTAGACACACATCTGGTACTTGTATTTGCTCCTGCTATACGTCCACAACTTCACACATTGGGTTAAATTAGGCTTTACAGTTTCCATGTTCAGTCCTTTTCTTCCACTGTATCTTTTTAAGAAAAAGGCAGCAGCTTTACAACCTGTCATTTAATCAGAAGACAAAGTCAAAGCCGAGCTGACAGCCAATCTTTCCTAGACTCAGCAAAACTTACCTCTAAAATACCTCTGTATTCCTGCAACTGCAATATTTACACAAATATTTCTTATTCAAATCTTCAGCAACGCTTTTTAACTCGTGAATTTGTTTAATATTTATTTACACCTTGACCGATTTTAGTATGACATGGCCATTAAAAATACAATGTTCCTTAACCAGATGGTTTTTCAAGTTATTTTTAAAGACAAAGTTACTTCAGTCATGCTGTTTTAATGTTTTGAGAAGACTAATAACACAACAAAAAAAAATTGAAATCGAAATCGTGAATCGGTCAAACTTTATAAAAAAAAATAGATTTTTTTTTTTTTTTTGCTAAATCGCCCTGCCCTATATGGAAGTATGCGGTTTCGGACGCAGCTATAGTTATCCAACATGTACGCCCGATAGCTCCGCCCCTTCGGCTACGTGAGCAAACCTGCGGTCATTTAGTACGTGAACTGTCCATCATTATACACTTCATTTTACCAGCTGAATGAGTGCATCATCTGGGTAATTAAAGTCCACTTATTATTTTAAAGTTTTCAGTGTGAACACGCTACTTACTGTTTATACTACAAAATGGCTTAGAATAGTGCAAAAGTATGCGATTTGGGACGCAGCTTGTGTTTAACTGCCTAGATCTTATAATGATGACCTTAGTGTCAGCCCTCTTTAGGGTAAAACTAGAACAATTTGCTCTGTCTGTATACCAAGATATTTCTGTTTTCAGGATCTTTGGGCTAGGTCAAGGGGTCACTGGGACCTCTGAGGTGGACTGGACTGATTGACCAGTTGTACTATTGTTAAAAAGTTGATTATATTAAGTGAGTATGTTAGGTAACACTGTCTGCTGTAGTAGAGTATGTTTATTTTAGTATTCTGATAAGATGCCTGCTAGAGAGCAAGTTAGTCTATATTTTGTTATTTCAATTATCATTAATGATCATAATTCTCAATAATTCTCTCTTCATTAAGAATAAAGCATAGCAGGGATTTTATTCTATGAAAACAATCATCTGGAACCGAGTGACATCATTGTTGTTGTTACGGTTGTATCATTGAATGTGTTGAACTTTGTCACGTAGATTCACAATTTCCAGTTTTATCATAGAATACATCCCCATTTGCTACTATTTGTTGTTCCTACTGAGGATGAACAACCCCTTAATACCTTTTCTACAAAAAAAAATCTACTCGAAACGTTTAGTCTCTCAAGCATTTGCTTCTAGCTTTAGCCTGCTAGCATCACTAGCCAGCTAAAGCTACCAGCTCCTTTGACATGTACCTTTTCCCACTTATTACACAGCTACTTGCCACAAAACATAACAATTATGCACTAAACATTGTCCTGAGCTGTAATAGTTTGTCAATTCCTTATTTAAACGCAAGCTGACAAATGAAAACAGCTAATTATGGAGATATTATGAAGAAAGCTGTAACCAAGGAGTTCTATAATATTCGTTTTTCCTTCTAAAGAAGTCAATAATTACAGGTTTTTAGCTTTCTTCGAAAGATCTTCCTTTGTGTTCAACACAAGGAAATCTCATTAGGAACAGAAACCACTTGATGGTGAGTAAATAATGAAAAAAAATGCAATTTTTTTGGCAAACTATCCCTTTACGTAGCTTATTTTACACGTAACTTACATAAAATAGTACTTCTATAAACGTATGTGAATGATCCCTAATATAACATATCTTGGAATGTTGCGACTGACCAATCATAATAAAGTATTCCAGACAGCCATGTAATAATAGTAATTATTAGCGCATTATAGGGTTGGGTATCCTTTGGGTTTTTTCGATACCGGTGCTAAATCGATACTTTTAAAACGGTACCGGTGCCAAAACGGTGCCTGATGACACGGATCGCACATGACAGTTGATAGCATCACACACCAGACGTGCATATTCGCATTTTATTTAAAATGTAACTATTAAGAAGTAGCTCTGTGGCATGGCAGCAGTATAAACAGTCATGAGTCGTGGCTGGCCGCTGGATGCCGCAGACAGCCGCTGACTTGCGAATTCACGTCCCCGAGCGGTGCTTACGGTGCGCGACTTGCTTTATGTTCATGTTGCAGAACCGAAATTTGGCACCGAAATTCATATGCGGATTTGATCTGGTGCATACCAGTTCCAAAGGTACCGGCGCCATAGTGGCACCGAGTTTCGGTACCCAACCCTAGCGCATTACTAATTTTAATGAATTTTAGAAATTCATTTATTGCTTTTTTCCAAATAATAATAAATGTTCAGCAATTACAGGGTTTCTGCAGGTTAAATTTAAGACTTTAAGACATTTTTAAGACCATTATGAATGAAATTTTAGACTCATAAAAGGCTAAACGCAAAATATTTTCCAAATGGCCCAGATAAAAAGTTTTTTTATTAGATTTTAATGCATTTAATAATACTATAATAATTGAATAATAAAAAATTAAAATATGTTAGATATTTCTTGGCAAAACTTTTTAATATTGTTTAAAAACACACAATCTCTACTTTTATCCACACTTTTTACGCAACATAAATTTCTTTAAAATAATAATAAAAAAATGAACGAATGTTTTAAAAAAAACATAATAAACTAAATCTATGCACAACAATATGTCCAGGTCGGTGTCCTTAGCCTTAAATACCTAAAGCACTTTTAAACAAATATTATTGTAATGAAAATAATTAAACCATTATGATTAATAAAGTTAAAAAGTTAAGATAATGTTAAGATAAAAAGTTAAAAGTTTTATTGAGATGGATTGTTAGTAATTGTATGGGTGTATTAGGGAAATTAGGTGGCAATACATGAACAAAGAAAAATTAAGACCCGTTTAAAAAAGATTTAAGAACTACAACACAACATTTAAGTAAATTTTACTGATTTTGAGATTTAAGACATTAAGACTTTTTAAGACCTCGGGGAAACCCTGAAGTAAAAGGAAATCGAACAAAAATGGAAATTCTGTCATTTACTCATTTTGATCTTCTGTTGAAGATATTACGAAGAAAGCTGTAACCACTGAGTTCTATAATATTCGTTTTACTTTCTAATGAAGTCAATGGTTACAGGTTTTAGCTTTCTTCGAATATCTTGTTTTGTGTTCAACCGAAAGAAAAATCATTAAGGACAGAAACCACTTGATGGTGAGTCTAATTTTTTTTGGCAAAATATCCCTTTAAGAGGCTTATTTTTTTACTTATAAGTTGCACAGAATAGTAATTTTGTACTCTTTGGAATCATTATAAGATTTTCTGAACTAACAAAGTTTACAATGCTGTTTTGTACAGCACACCTTACACAAATCAGCAGTACCTGTATATTAGGGAATGTGTTCTTGATCAGGTAGTACATCTTGCGGTGGGAGTTGAGATCCCCCAGCGTGTACTTCTCGCTAGCCCCTTCTTTCGTTTTGCCCTTTGACTTCTCCTCCAGTGTGTTGTCCTCCCGGATCCTCTTCACCTCCCGTCCGCCCTGCACCGCAGCGTCTATGGACAGCGCCAGCAGCTCTCTCAGATCCACGGTCCTCTTCTGGCGGAAAAAGGCGAGTCTGCTGGACAAAACCCCCGCGTACAGGTGATAAATCACACCGACCCCGAGTAAACAGAACACGGCTATGCCGAGCGGCGACAGCCGGATGCCCATAGGAGCCATCGCAATTATAGACGTGCGAGCAAAGCCAGGGGAATGCGAGAACAGTACAGCAGCTTTACCAGTCGTGTTTCTCTTTGCTGCGCATAATTTGAACGCAGCTATAACATAAACGAGAAAATATCTTACGAGCTAATCAAAAGTCACTTGTTTCCTTCACTGGCGAAATCCAGGTTAGGTGGAACGAACGCTTCCCTCATAGACTCACAGTGTATCCCGCGGTCTAAGCATAAATGTCTGGTTTCTTACGTTGACAGATCCATTACGGTGACAGCGACTGATACATTGACGGCATTCCACGTCCACTGCTGTGCCAGGCAGGGCCGAACTGACTGACACTGCGTTTTTCTTCCAGGTCAGGAAGACAGAAACGGTGGACTCATCACGAGAGAGCGCCCTCTACCAACAACACAAACATCTGCTGAGAAAATGCTACCAAAATAAAATGCAATTATTAAAAAAGCTTTAGGTGTTTGTTAAAATAGTGCTTTGAGAATAGGGAAAAGCCTTATAGAACGGTAAGGTAACCCTTATTTAAAAAAAAAAAACACACACAAATAATTACATGTTAAAATCGCATGTGGAAGAACTTTGCTGAAGAGAGAGTATTGTATTTTATTTGAATTAATATTATTATAAATGTTTTCTTTCATTACATATTTAATGACCATGTTAGTGTTTTTTATTTGTGTATATACGTATTAAATTTTAATTGTATTGTTTGTATGCATGTATTATAATTACTTTACTATTTTATCCACTGTTTATGTAATGTGCAATGTTTTGGCACTTGACAAGTCATGCCAATAAATCTAGTTTGAAGTGAATAAAGATATTTATTATTTAATCTTTTGTTAAAGTATTTATTTCTATTTAACAATTTCATGGCGGAATTAATTATCCTATCAATGTCTCATCACAAACCCCACATTTGGGAAACCCTGATATAACATCATGTTTAACACACTTATGTTTTTAAAATAAAAAATAAAATAATCAAAATGTAGTCAGATTACATTACATTATTAAGTCATCTAGATGAACTGTGATTATTTTCATATAACAGCTCCACCAAAAATAAATGGTTTCTTATTTAATATAATTTAAGGTATAATTCATGTCTCAAAGCTGATTTTTCAGCATCATCCTTTTCTTTAGTGTCACATACTTGTATGTATACAAACATACAAATATTTAAATATTTTGATTTGCTGCTCAAATCAACCAGTTGCCCCTAAAGGGATAGTTCACACAAAAATGAAATCTCTGTCATCATTTACTTTCCCTTTACTTGTCCAAAACCTATTTTGAGTTTCTTTCTTTTTCTTTTGAACACAAAATATAATATGGAAAAAGCTGGTTGATAACACCCATTGGCAATAGTATATATATTTGTCATTAGGTACCATTAATCAGCTTATTTCAAAATGCTGTCTTCAACAAAAAAATTAATAAACGCTTAAAGCCACACAAGGGAGTTGGGTGAACTATGTTTTAAAATGCCATTTAAACTATTATCCTCTGCAACTGCTTTCCACAGAACCGATACTTGCTGCAGAAAAAAAAACATGTGACAGGGACTTAATCCTGAAGATTTAGCCAATTTGTTTAAAGAAATAAATTGCCATTTTGAGTTGCAAATATATGTTCTGTAACTTCAGCATGCTTTGACAATAATAAAAATGATTAATAAACTGTTTATACTTTTCCTACAAAGTGGTATATGTTAAACAACTGTTATGTACACTCACTGGCCATTTTATTAGGTACACCTTACTAGTACCAGGTTGGACACCCTTTTGCTTTCAGAACTGCCTTAATCCTTAGTGGCACAGATTCAACAATATATATATATTCTATACTGAGATGATAGTATCAAGCAGTTGCTGCAGATTTGTCAGCTGAACGTCCATGATGCAAACCTCCCGTTCCACCACATCCCATCTATTAAAGAAAATATCTCCCGCACCATTACACCACCACCACCAGCCCTGAACCGTTGATACAAGGCAGAATGGATCCATGCTTTCATGTTGTTGACGTCAAATTTTGACCCTACAATTCAAATGTCACAGCAGAAATCGAGACTCAGCAGACCAGGCAACTTTTTACAATCTTCTATTGTCCAATTTTGGTGAGCTGTGCGAATTGTAGCCTCAGTTTCCTGTTCTTAGCTTACAGGAGTGGCACCCGGTGTGGTCTTCTGCTGCTGTAGCCCATCCGCTTCAAGATTCAACACAGCGTTCAGAGATGCTTTTCTGCATACCTCGGTTGTAACGAGTGGTTATTTGAGTTACTGTTGCCTTTCAACCAGCTGGAACCAGTCTGGCCATTCTCCTCTGACCTCTGGCATCAACAAGGCAATTGCAGAACTGCCGCTCACTGAATATTTTCTCTTTTTCTGACCATTTTCTGTAAACCTCAGATATGGTTGTGTGTGAAAATCCCAGTAGATCAGCAGTTTCTGAAATACTCAGACCAGCCCGTCTGTGACCAACAACCATGTTACGTTCAAAGTCACTTCTGATGCTCAGTTTGAACTGCAGCAGATCGTCATGACCATGCCGCGCCATGTGATTTAACAGATTAGAAATGTGTGCTAACAAGCAGTTGGACAGGTATACCTAATAAAGTGGCTGGTGAGTGTATATTTCCACCCATAATTAGTTAATACAAATGCACTGCAATTTTTAAAAATATGAACTAGGATTTATATACATCTTTTCAAATGAATTATTGGGTCTGAAGGGGAAATACAATAATTTAGTGAATAAAAAGCAAGGAAGTTTATGCATTTTGCACTTTAATTCTTTGGTGATCCCACATCTTTTAATATGTTCCTGCATAAACACTTTTTAATGAAATATAAGTGCAAACTTCCATGTATTCACAAAAATGGAATATTATAAACATTTACATCTTTACATCACAATGCACATAACCATGATACATACAGTTACAAAAACAGTTACAAAAACACCATAACAATGACAAAAAAACAATAACTTAAAAAATAACTAGATACATTTGTTTGAGCATAATCAGACTGTTATAGAAAGTGCAACTGTTATATTATTAAATTGACTCTTTTATGAACTGAAAATCATAAAACACCAACTTTACATTGTGAATGAAACGTATTTTTATTATTTAGTTTGACACTTAAAGGATGTGTGGAAAAAAAAGAGGCTCTCTAGCGACGAAGCCAGATCCATGAGTTAACTAACCAGAATGCAACAGTGAGGGAGTACATGACCATTTCACGCTTGGCTCGCTCTTTATTCTCATGCTCCAGTAGCTGCAGTCTTCGATTCAGCTTGATAATCTGTTCACAACACATGAGAAATCAGCCATGAGAGCAGATTTTTTATGCATTATTTCAATAATGATAATAATAATAATAATAATAATTATTATTATTATTATTATTTTTATTATTTATTATTATTATTATTATTATTATTATTATTATCGTTGTTACAATAAATAACTGCATAATTGAATACGTTATAATTTTATGGTTATAATATTATTATTATTAATAATAATAATTTTATTATATACATTTGCCTTATATTTAAAACACATTAGTATTGAATTATCAAGTAGTTTTTTATTTTGTTGGCATCAGATTTAGAAACAATTCTTAATCAAAATTTTGGAGACTGTGTTTTTAAAAGCACACAATAGGTAACACAAACTGACAGAGCTTATATAGACTAACATAGAGTTTGTATCAGCATTTATTGCAAATCAAGATTCTCATAGACACTGAAAACAAAAACAAAACAAAAACAGTCAGCTAGTGATTTTGTGTTGGCTATCTACAGTTGAAACCAGAAGTATACATACACAGTATAAAAAGGCACATAACCATCTAAAAAAAAAAGTCAGACGTTAATGTGCCTAAACTTTTTCTCTTTCAGGTAAGTTAGGATTATCATATTCGTTTCTGTTATGCTTAATAGCAGAATAATGAGAGATATTTTTTGAGAAATTGTTATAACTTTCCTTGAAAGACAAGCTTGCACACAATAAGATTATTATGCCTCTGAAAAAGTTCAGATCATGGTGTCAAGGTTCTGGAAGTTTCTGATTGGCTAATTGACAACATTTGAGTTAATTGGAGGCACAACTGTAGAATAGTATTTAGGGAAAACCTCAAACACACTGCTTCCTTGTGTGACAACATGGGAAAATCAAGCCAGAGTCAACAAAAAAGCCAGATTACAACTTGCTAAATTACACTAGGAAAAGGAGTAATTTTTGGAGACATGTTCTGTGGTCTGATGGAACTAAAGCCGGCACCCGGTCAGTACCTGGATAGGAGACCACATGGGAAAGCTAGGTTGCTGCCGGAAGTGGTGTTAGTGAGGCCAGCAGGGGGTGCCCAACCTGCGGTCTGTGTGGGTCCTAATGCCCCAGTATAGTGACGGGGACGCTATACTGCTCAGTGAGCGCCGTCTTTCGGGTGAGACGTTAAACCAATCAGCTGGTGTGTGGTGTGCGGTCTGGCGCAAAATGGCTGCCGTCGCGTCATCCAGGTGGATGCTGCACACTGGTGGTGGATGAGGAGATCCCAACCCCTCCCCCCCCATTGTGTAAAGTGCTTTGAGTGCCCAGAAAAGCGCTATATAAATGTAAGGAATTATTATTATTATTATTATTATTATTAAAGCCTGGTTTATACTTCTGCTTCAAGTGACCGGCGTAACCCATGGCGCATGCAACACTCGTAGCTGTGCATTTATACTTCTGCGCGCTGTCTCTGTTGGTCTGTATTAACACTTCCGAAACGCTAGTTGGCAGTGAGGTGTAAATGTTCCTTTTGTGTCGAGTTTCTTCGCTGCTGTTTTGTTTTCCTGAACACTTCCGGGATGTACAAGTGGCTCAAACTCGCTCATTTTGAGGCAGGAACCGGCGGACGTGCAACAACTTTAACTATGAGGTAAACACAAAACAAAACTTTCCATCCGGAGCTCCTTCAAGGGACTTCACACTTGTAAACAATCGCTCCATCGTGCTCGCACCATTCACGCGGCTCTCGGTCCCGCCCACACTCGTCAGCGCTACCAAGCCGACCAATCACAGAGCTTGCGCTACGCAGGGGCAGCAGCATCATGTTGTGGGGCTGTTTTGCTGCAGGAGGGATTGGTCCACTTCACAGCATAGATGGCATCATGAAGAAGGAATATTATGTAGAAATACTGAAGCAACGTCTCAAGACATCAGCCAGGAAATTAAAACTTGGCCACAAATGGGTCTTCCAAACAGACCATGACCCTAAGCATACTGATAAATTAGTTAAAATGTGCTTTAAGGACAACAGAGTGAATGTTTTGGAGTGGCCATCATACAGCCCTGAGCTCAATCCTATAGAAAAATTTTGGGCAGAGTTTAAAAAACTTGCGAGTAAGACAGCCAACAAATCTGACTCAGTTACACCAATTCTGTCGGGAGGAATGGGCCAAAATTTATGCAAACTATTGTGAGAAGCTTGAGGAAGGATACCCAAAACATCTGACCAAAGTTATACAGTTTAAAAGTAAAGCTATAAAAATACCAAGAAAATGTATGTCACTTTTGACTGTCCAGCAATGAATAAAACATTCTACAAAAAAATCTTTAATTATTCTGGCAATTAGCAAATATAAATGATTTAGGTAATCCTAATGGACTTAAAATAGTAAACGTTTAGTATGATTTACCAAAAGACTTTTTTTTTTAAATTGGTTATGTTCCTTTTTTTAAGAGTGTATGTAAACTTCTGGTTTCAACTATATCTATCTACATAAGTCTGCACAGATTAAATAATAAGTAATATATACAGTATAGTCTTATATAATAATATACAGATATTGTAAAATTGCATACCTAGATTTGTTGACATTTTCTAACAATGAATGAAGAGTTGAAGGCAGAGCAGCGAATATTACCTGTCGTCGCAGTGAGGCAGCGTCTGTTAAACCAGCATCATCAGGAGTGTTCTCCACACTCGCATCGAAAGTCACAAGAGATGCACGACTACAAGAAAAAGAACGTTTACATTTAAAAAAAAAAAAACCTTAGTCAAACTAGCAAATGAAAACTTAAAGGTGCTGTATGTAAGCTTGACTCCTCTAAAGCAAAAAAATACCATAATATGTTTGCAGATATTTAAGAAACATGCTAAGTGAACATTGTTGATTATCTGAAAAACATGGCTGAAGTCAGATATTCTGCTTTGAAAATGTGCATTATATGCTGGAACGGCTGTCTTTGTTTTGGTCATTCAACCCGCCCAATGCCAGTTCAGCCAATTATATTTCAGCTCCCTGAGTTGCCCAATTGGAATACCATTTATTTCATTCATTCGATCAGGAAGGCTCTGAAAGTATGTGCCTGTGGCCGAAATGGACCTCCAGTGCACAGTAGCAGCCTCCAAAATAAGACGCAGATTCAGAGTTCCAAATGAGGTGGCTATTAATTAGCAAATAATATAAATATTCCAAAAGTAAACATTAGGCGAGCAGGTTGCATTGTAACCACATTTCCTAACAACATGCTAAGTGACAGGATTTGCAGTAATAAGCAACTGGGCTGTTTGCACCAAACTAAACATGACAGAAATTTAAATTCAGCGATTTAGAAGCACAGAATAGTGCACTTACTGCACTTCAACAAAATTGTAAGGTTTATAATTAATTAATACACAAATACACATTCAACCTCTTTAACATTATTAAATGCACATCTGTCATTAATATGTGTTGGCTTGCACTGAGTTACAATTTTCAAGATCGAGGTGAACTATCTGCTGCTGCTTTCAGTAGTATGGTAATAAATGTCATGTAAAATGGCATTCAAACTCACATTATTAACATTTCACACTGAATAAAGCACATGAGGTGTACCTGAGGTGATCATTGTCATAGTTTTTTGTTGTTCAGCTGCAAGAAATATAAGCTGTTTCTAATATAAATTGTAGGTGTTAGTTAGAACAAAAACTCCTTTAAATATGGAAAATATTCCTTCTATGACGTGCCATTACTTTTATTTAAAACATGGTTTAAATGAGCCTTAAATCAGGCTTGACAGTCAAGCACACTGTTGTTGGTGTCATCAATCTGGCAACCTACGTTTGCCTTCGTTTTGAATCAGCTGTGCAATACCCAATTCAACCACTGGGTGTCAAACGAGCATACTGCATCTTTAAACAACTTAATTATCTTACAGTTGACATTTAAAAATTTGCAATGGTGCTTACAAAAACATAACCACCATAGTCAATGTAGTGGCTTGATATATTTTGGCTATCTGTGTCGGACTTTGGCTTGAAGCAAGGTAGCACATGAAAATCTGATGAAAAGACAAAGTATGTGTGTGGATACTTAACATCTTTACGTGGTAAAAAAACTACATTTCCATAATAAATTGTGAATGAAAAATAAAAGTAAAGCACAAAAAAACAGACAGAAATATAAAACTATTTAACGTTGCTGGTTGCATCTATATACATTTTTATTTAGTGTTTTATTACAAGTTTTATTGCCAAGTAGGTGCACTTACAAACATACTATATATATATATATATATATATATATATATATATATATATATATATATATAGACAGACAGACACAGTAGATAGATAGATAGATAGATAGATAGATAGATAGATAGATAGATAGATAGATAGATAGATAGATAGATAGATAGATAGATAGATAGATAGATAGATAGATAGATAGATAGATAGATAGATAGATAGATAGATAGATAGATAGATAGATAGATAGATAGATAGATAGATAGATAAAATAACAACATTAGAGCTAGATTTATTTCTTATTATTGAAAATATCTTTCTGTATGGAAAAAACAAATTGAGTTAAACCTACACTGTAGCGCATTATTATCAGAACTGGACTTTTATTTTGACACCTCTAAGCCAGAAGTGTTCTTCATTGGTTTATGTCCTAATATATCATACAGTACTGCAAAGTAATACAGAACAGCACAAATTGTTAAGAAAATAAAGCAACTGCTACATACTGTAAAGAATGTACTGCGGTATTTAACGTTCAACAATACAAGTAGTTGAAAGGCGATGGTTCAAACTAAACAGTGTTATATCACATAGGGCCTATTGCATAAGTATTGACAGATATAGTAGCCTACTGCCAAATGCCTCCCAGCTCTCTAAGATACTGGCATCAGGCGATCACTAATTCATTGACATTTATACTCTGCAAATGCATAATTAACACCACTGCATGCTTCGGTGAGAGCTCACCCGCGCTGACTGTCGTCCAGCACCTCCAGGACCTGCTGGTAAGCCCTGCGAGTCGTGCTCTTGATGTAATTGAGGACACCACTGGCACTGTTTAAATTCTGACTGTCCTCAGGACTTATAAGAGGGGGACAAACACGGACAGGAGCACGAGATGGAGACGGACTTGCACTAAAAGAGAGAGACATAATTGTGACAAAAATCATATGCACATTTAATCTATTAGCATATCAACACAGGTTTGGCTAGACTGACCTGATAAAAAAAAAAATATATATATATATATATATATATTAAGCATTCAAACAGTTATTTCCAACCAAATTATACAATCTGGAAGTCATTGAGCAGCCAGCAGTATGTAAAGCTTAATGTATGTGCATGCTTTGTTTAGCCATCTCCCCTCCTCCTAATAAAACATTATAGACGGGACATTTTTGTCTCAATTCAGACTTGTGATAAAACTCGCAGACTACAGACCTCTTGGATGGACTTCTTGAAGATGCTGTATGACTGCAGATTAACCAACATGTCTTGTTTCGAGTAAGGCAAGGCAAGTTTATCTATATAGCACATTTCATACACAGTGGCAATTCAAAGTGCTTTACATAAACAAGAATAAAAGAAACAAGTAAAATAAAATAAAAACAAATAATAAAAATTAGTAAAAACAGGTCAAATGTGATATAAAAGAATGAAGAAGAAGAGAAAAACATAATAGTGCAATCTGTCGGACGCAGCACAGTGCTCATTCAGTAAAGGCACAGCTAAACAGATGTGTTTTCAGTCTTGATTTGAACATGCCTAATGTTGGAGCACATCTGATCATTTCTGGAAGCTGATTCCAGCAGCGGGGGGCATAGTGGCTGAAAGCTGATTCACCCTGCTTTGACTGAACTCTTGGAACTTCTAGTTTATATGATCCTAAAGATCTGAGTGATCTGTTGGGTTTGTATTCAGTCAGCATATCTGTAATGTATTCAGGTCCTAGGCCATTTAGTGATTTATAGACAAGTAATAATACTTTAAAATCTATTCTGAATGGAACTGGCAGCCAGTGTAAAGACCTAAGGACAGGTGTGATGTGCTCTGATTTTCTGGTTCTGGTCAGAATTCTGGCTGCAGCGTTCTGGATGAGCTGCAACTGTCTGACTGTCTTTTTAGGAAGACCAGTGAGGAGGCCGTTACAGTAATCCACCCTGCTACTGATAAAAGGATGAACAAGTTTCTCTAAGTCTTCACTGGAAACAAAGCATCTGATTCTTGCAATGTTTTTAAGATGATAGTATGCTGATTTACTAACTGCTTTTACATGACTATTGAAACTCAGATCTGACTCCAGAGTCACACCAAGATTCTTGACCTTATTTTTTGTTGTTTGACCTTTAGTGCCAAGGTACGCATTCACCTTGAGAACCTCATCTCTGTTCCCAAACCCAATGACTTTAGTTTTCTCTTTGTTTAACTGAAGAAAGTTTTGGCACATCCAACTGTTCATTTCATCAATACATTGGCAGAGGGTGTCAATGGGGCTGTAGTCATTAGGCAGTAAGGCTAGGTAGATCTGAGTGTCATCAGCATAGCTGTGGTAGGAGATATTTGGCTCAGAGGGAGCATGTAAAGGTTGAACAGGAGAGGTGCCAGAATCGAGCCTTGTGGGACTTCACATGTCATTGGTGTCCACCTCGACCTGTGGTCACCTATACTGACATGGTAACCTCATCCTTCAAGGTAAGATCTAAACCATTTGAGGACCGTCCCAGACAGCCCAACCCAGTTTTCCAGCCTATAGAGAAGTATGCTGTGATCGAAAGTGTTAAATGCAGCACTGCCTGAATCTGTATTTAGGCGTATATCATTGATTATCTTTATAAGAGAGCTCTCTGTACTGTGATGTGCTCTGAAACCAGATTGAAAATTGTCTAAAACCCCCCTCAAGTTTAAGAACTTGGTAAACTGGTTGAAAACAACTTTTTAGTACAACCAATTCTGCTTGTTTCGAGTCTCCTGGACTGGGTTCTGTCTTTTTCACTCATTTATTTTTTTTTACAACACATATTAGATATGGTATTTTTTATTATGCTTTTGACTATCATATGTCATATTTCTAAAGGTTAGCAAATTAAATGTGTAAAGAATATGATTATATTGACTTTATAATTACTGTACAGAAATACTACAGTTCGGCAGGACCAATGTTATTAATGACAGGATTTATTTTTACTTACAAATCATGTTTGTTTATTTGTCCATTGCGACGCATTGTAGAGTTTTCACTCCTACATCGCTCCCGTCTTGACCTAAAGTGAGATTTCATCTGTGAAGAGACAGATAACAGTTCTTAAAGCGATAGCTCACCTAAAATGGCAAATTCTGTCATCATTTACTCACTATTCAGAACCTGTTTGAGATTTTAAAGAAAGCTGACAACCTGTAACCATGACTTCTATAGTATTTGTTCATCCTACAATGCATGCCAAGGGTTATAGCTTTCTTCAAAATATTTTTTTAGTGTTAAACAGAATAAAGAAGCTCCAACTGGTTTAGAAACAAGTGAAAGGTGACTAAATGATTACAGATTGTTCAGTTTTAGATGAACTACCCGTTTAACTCTATAAGGTACATGTCAGGATGATGATTCAGAGTTCCCTCATTCCTCAATGTCAAATTAATTTTAATAGGGCTATTAAAACAACACATGTTGACCAATGCGCTTTACATCATTTAAAACAATAACAAAAATAAACATCAACAAGAATATGCCATGGCAAACAAGTCTTTAACTTTACTTTTAAAAAAAGTGTATAGTCTGCATTTCTGACATGGTGCAGGTAATGTGTTTTAAAGTATTGGCACTAGGGCTGTGTGATTAATTTAAATCATATTTAAAAATTGTGATTTGTACATGTGCGATTTCTAAATCGCCTTACAGCACGATTTTCCCGCAATATGCTGTTTGAACCAATCATAACACAGCGTGCCTAAACAAAGCGCGAGAATAGGAGACTGAGCTTAATTACAAATAGCCTGCAAAAACAGGAATGATGAGTTCCGCCCAGGAGGACTTGGAGTCCAAAAATGTCGACATATGTAGTGTAAGAAATTACTTTGGATAGAGGAAGGCTGATGTATCGTAGAACCAGGTGATTTGTAGGACTTGTTAGTTAAATATAGTGTCTAAAAGCGTGTGGAAAGCGTAAGTAGCATTGCTTCTGTCAGCATTTTCAATGCGCTTTGGGCTTGCGCTCCTTTGTCATTGCTCGGTGTCCATCAAACGTTTTCCCAGGGGATGACAAACTAACAAAACATTGTTACAGCACTGAAACAAGTTTTATTTGTGGAGAAAATTCAATGTTCTTTGTTTGTCTGAGGTAATTATTCTACTAAAATGTGTATATTCTATACAAAGTATGAAGCTGAATAGGTCAGTTCTTGTTAAGAAAAAGTTAAGATGTTTTCAACTTAGTGCTACAGATCTAATTGTTTTCCTTGAGAAATATGTTTTAGATTTACACTTGTAAACGTCTGTGTGTATCAAAAGCGTGATTAAAATTGAAATCAAATTATTGTTCAAGAAAATCATGATAGGTTTCTTTTGTCCATATTACACAGCCCTAATTGGCACCACAACAGAGAAAGCTTAGTCTCCTTTCTGTCTTAATTTTGTCCTTGGCATTTGTAGGAGATATTCAGTTGGTGATCGAAATGTTCTTTCACTCTGATATTCAGATAACAGTTCTGATAGGTAGGATAGTGCAGGGCTATATTAACTTACTGTATATATACACTAATAAAAATAAGCTTGAAATAAATCCTATATTGAACCAGACGCCAGTTTAGAGAGATCAAATACATGAAGTTATATGTTGATGCTTTTTAATGTTCAGTAACAGTAGCATTTTAACCTTCTGTAACTGTAGGACAGATGTTTGGCCGATACACCCTTGTATAATGAATTACAATTGTCAAGCCTTAATTATGTGAAAACATGGATTGCAATTTCGATAATTTTGGATGTCAGGCATGATTTTATCTTTGCTATATTTCTAAAATGAAACCTAATAACTTTTTAATACAGGATTGATTTGAGTGTTTGACTTTAAGGAGCTCTAAATACACACAGCCAAGTTTTTAACCTGTTCTTTGACATGCAGTGATCTCACCTCTTCTCTCGGCTGGGCAGTGGAGTTTGCTGCTGGCTCTGGCTCGAGGAAGTCCAGAGGTTGATCATTGAGGGTAAGAACCCGTGGTGGAGTTTTCAGTTCGACTGTTTCTAGTGGAGTAGACTGGATCAAATCTAGATCTCTGGGTCTTCCAAAGCGAGCGTCATTATCATCTCCTTGGAGAGTGAAAGGGACGGAGGTTGATAGGCATTAGTTGACTTCTGCTAACTTAAAAATTTATTTTGACTTCATTTAACCCAAAACTACACCATGATATGGTATTACCTGCAATCACAATCCTTTCTGGCACATGCATCATAGTACTGTGAGATGCATTTAGGAGACCAGGCGGTTCCTCTGAAGAACCGGAGGCGATTTTGAGCCTCTCAGGTATCCGCATCTGTTGACTGATGCCTTCTGTATATTCTAGTTCATAGTGGATGCGGTTTACTTCTGCCATATCGGCAGAGTGGAAGATGTCAGCCTCGCTCATTTACCTGCAGACAGAAAATTTCATTATAACGCATGCAAGATTTGTTTTACTATAAGACTGATTGTATGTAATCAGTAACAAATAGATAAGTTATGAATTGATAATGACAATAAGCATTCAGACAAGGGCTTCATGATAATGGAATAAATCTGACACTGCAATACATTTTTTTCTGCGATCTTCATTCATTAATTTTCTTTTCGGCTTAGTCCCTTTAATAATCTGGGGTCACCACAGCTTTATGAACTGCCAACTCAACCCAATTCACCTGTACCACATATCATTGGACTGTGGGGGAAACCGGAGCACCCGGAGGATACCCACGCAAATGCAGGAAGAACATGCAAACTTCACACAGAAGCACCAAATGACCTAGCCAAGGCTCGAACCAGCAACCTTCTTGCTGTGGGGCGACAGCACTACCTACTGCGCCACTGTGTTGCATATATAATTTCACCACATGATTTGAATGGCCATTTTCATTTAGATTGGGATAATCAAATCTTTTCTATGCAGTGTGTTTACATCAATTTTAATAAATTACAAGAGAGCAAAAATAAAAGTTAAATAAACAGCGCTTGATGGTTTTTACAGTAGTCTAACAGTATTCAGGTACAGAAAGTAAACAATCAAATGTACAATAACATGGTCAGCATTGTATAAATTATTTAAAAATATTCATATTGCATGTTTTCATCTTTAATGAATAATCAAATCCTGTGATATTGCGAATACACACATTGCGATATATATGCTCAAACGATATATTGTGTAGCTTTAATTCAGACAATGATGCTTCATGTTAAACAGAAGCAGTTATAGAATAGATGCATGTATTCAGGGAGGGCAATTACATGTGTGATTGTAACCTGGTTATATAATGTCGCGTGAATAATTCAGTAATGTTTTATTAAATCAACATATAGATATAGAAAAACATTTGAAATCTAGAATATGAGTATCAAACTAATATCAAAATAAGGGATTAGATTTCAGATCTTTTTTTCTTTTTTTTTTAGAAAAATGCATCGAATGAATAGTTGACACCCATTATACTACGTAAAGTATCTTTTCCACAATAAGTTGAATTGGTTAAATCACTAACATATCCGACCTTACAAATGTTCTGATAGGAAACGAAATCAATAGCGAAGCCGTGCTTGCCGTTGTTTACATTTCAGACCGAAATCCGAGCGTTCATCGAACCACAATGTAAAGCATTGCATAACGTTAAATAATAAGAGATATTTACCCGTTGACTTTGTAACGATCGGCACTTCGGTTGCAGCGGATGTTTCGGATAAAGATTACAACCCCATTAGAGAATAAATATTTCCATCAAACCACCGTAAGTCCCTTGGTACAGCTGTGCTCTGCTGCTGAATGACAACTGCCTGGCTAATCAACGAACTCGCTGTTTGTAAAATAATATTATTGTTATAAATGCTGACAGTAAGCTACGTTTATTTGGCTTATGTTGTGCAAACAGACACCTTGGGATTTATGTTTACTAGGAATGTGGTATCTTTATTACAAACATTTTTATCGGCAAGAGGTCGCTGGTTTCACTCACTTCCGGTTAGCGTTACGCATCCTGCGAATCCTACTATGAGGAACTCTGGGCTCATGAATATAAATAAGATTAATACGTCGAGCTGCAGGCAGACCTTTTTTCTCTGACAGTGTCACCTGCTGTTGGGTTGGGTGAAGAGGCAGTTACGGAGACGCAACTGCACTCTCATCAGACAAACACTTTTTTTTTTACTTTTTTTTATTAACAAACTGCAACATTTACATTACATTATATTACATTACATGCCAGGGATTAAAACAGAAATGTATCTTTTAAACAGATTCACAGTTTTTACAGCTTTTTTGTTAGTACATTCAGAAATCAAAGACATATAAAGATTTAGATCTTAGAGAAAAATCTAAAAGAAAGGTTTACGCTTACAAAATTTACACTTATGTATAAAATATTTGGCCAAAAATATAATAAGATTAAATAAATAAAAAGTATCTGGATGTTCATTTTGATGGTTATATACAAACACTTTCTAGAAAGTAGCAACATCTGACATGCCAGTAAGGTTATTAGCAATTAAAGCGATTCCTGAAAATTGCAAGTTTTATGACATAATGTGGTGTAAAATATTACATTAACAATTATTTCAGTGTTTGATTAAAACATTGATTAAAATTAGTGCCAAAATATATTTTATGATAGTTGCAACTTGCTTTTTTTTCGGTGTTATTGTACCATTCTGGGACAATTTTCTAGCAATGTTTTCTGGCAAAATAATAATAATAATAATAATAATAATAATGTTAAAGTAAAAATGTTAAAATAAAATGTTTAATATATAACACAATTATTATTTGAAAGATATTTTAGAGCTATAAAGGTCTACAACTATTGTATTGTCTATCTGAAAGTGCTACCAAAGACAATAACAGTAACACAGTTTAACAATTATTAAGTTTTGTAATGATTACAAATAAGTTTTTTGGAAATCAAAATATTAGTTAATCTGCATAGAATTTACAATATGAGCTCTCTTAGGTTAAAGCAATAATAATTTGCTTGCGGTGTGTATTTTTTCCCAGATGGATATTACAATTCAAAAAGGGGGTCTCTGCCAACACAAATACAGTGCACCAAAGGCTGAAGATATTTCCACTGTTTTTTGATCGAGAAATGAAAAATCTCCCCAACAAGAATGTAAGCATTTATTTTATTTGATGTTATTTTCTACACAAAAAAAACAAAACATTTTCAATATTCCAATTATTATTTTCACCGTTTTTCTCTGCATTGTTTACAGTTTGATGATTTGTAGGACCTCATTAAAAAGTAAACAAAAATAAAGTTTGTTGTGAGAAAATTACCCAGAGAACTATAATTTATTGTATGTGAAGAAATTCCTTGTAGATAATATTCATTCCCTCAACTCAATACGAAACAGTGATAAATTATTTAAAAAAAAATAAAACAATAAATGTCTGAAAATATTGAAGTTACTGAACAATATCTATTTACGAATGCAATTAATAGATACGACAGAATTATTGCATTAAATCAAAATCTAGTATGTTTAATATCTTATATAATAATGCATTCAATCATAGCGTAATATTTTATAGTTGAAAAATTGTTTAAGTTACAATTTCTTAGCTGCTGAATTCAGGTTAGTCGATCTTTCAAACAGCAGGAGACACTGGAAGGTCTGGAAGTGCAAATCTAGCCATCTGAGCATTTCATTTTTGAAGAAATCCATACATACAATTAGTATCAAGCAAAAGCTAAGTGTGAACTCTTGAAATTTACATCAAAGATATCTGACATTATCAAAATGAATGTCATACAAGCTCCACAGTGGCAAAGCAACCCTGCCTGTGTATCTTAGGTCTCTGGATATTGTGGGGCTGTCTTTGCTAACACGTCTCTACAATATTGCATGAAGGTCGGGGACAGTACCTCCGGACTGGGCAACTAGGGTGGTGGTTCACTATTTTTAAAAAGGGGGAACAGAGGGTGTGTTACAACTATATGGGGATTACACTCCTCAGCCTCCCTGGAAAAGTCTATGCCAGGGTACTGGAGAGGAGGATCTGGCCGATGGTTGAACCTAGGTTTCAGAGGGAAAAATTAGGTTTTTGTCCAGGCTGTGGTTACACTGGACCAGCTTTGGGTTCTTGGAAGTATGCCCAACTAATACACACTTGAGTATGGGGTTAGAGGTGCTCTGTTAAGCACTGTCTCATCCCTGTATAAACAGAGTAGGAGTTTGGTTTACATTGCTGGCAATAAGTCAGACTTTCTCCCAGCGAATGTTGGACTCCGGCAAGGCTGCCATTTGCCACCAATTCTGTGAGCAGCCTTGGGAAGATGTTGTTCTGTTGGTTTCATCAAACATGGACCAAACATGGGGTGTTTTGCTGCTGAGTGTGATGCAGCTGGGATGAGAATCAGCACCTCCAAGTCCGAGGCCATGGTGCTGCACCAGAAAAAGGTGGTTTGCCATCTCCAGGTTGGAGGAAAGTCCCTACCCCAGGTGGAGGAGTTCAAGTATTTTGGGGTTTTGTTCACTATTGAGGGAAGGAATGTGAGATTGACAGGTGGATTGATGCATCGGCATCAGTAATGTGGTCGATGTACCATCCATTGTGGTAAAGAGGGATCTGCGCTAAAAGGCAAAGCTCTTGATTTACCGTCAATCTGTGTTCCTACACTCACTTATGGTCATGAGCTTTGTGTCATGACCAAAAGTACAAGATCTTGGGTACGAGCTGCCAAAATGAGTTTCCTTCGCAGGATGGCAGGGCGCACCCTTATAGAAAGGGTGAGGAGCTCTGTCACCCAGGAGGAGCCTGAAATAGAATCGCTATTCCTCCACATTGAGAGAAGTCAGATGAGGTGGCTCGGGCATCTGTTTCGGATGCCTCCTGGACGGCTACCTAGGGAGGTGTTCCAGGCATGTCCCACTGGGAGGAGGCCTCGGGGAAGATCCAGGACACGTTGGAGGCAATATATCTCTCGGCTGGCCTGGGAAAGCCTCGGGATCACCCCAGAGGAGGTGGAGGAAGCGTCTGTAGAGAGGGAAGTCTGGGGTTCTCTCCTAAGACTGCTGCCCTACAACCCGGCCCCAGAAAAGCGGATGAAAATTTATGAATGAATAAAAGATATCATATTTCTATTTTCTAAATCGTCTGATTGTAAAATGTCAGATTTTTTATTCTTGGTTTCACTCTATATGCATTCAGAATATATCAAATGTTAAAAACTTATATGTGTTTCTCCTTAGATCACTGTCAGCTTACTCTGGATTCAAACACAGTGAACCGTTTCCTCCAACTGTCCAAAGGCAACAGTGCAGCAACTGAAGATGTACTATGTATTATATGTTGGCTTTAATTAATGTTAATATTACTTTATAGACATTTATAAACTATTTACTATTGTAAACTAGTAAAACGATAGTAAAACAATGGTAAAACTATGGTTTTACTATCGTTTTACCATTGTTTTTCTGTCATTTTACTATCGTTTTACTACAATTTAATTATAGTAAATACATACTAAAATCATAGGTAAACTACTATAGTACACTAGTAAAACAATGGTAAAACGATAGTAAAACAATGGTAAAATGATGGTAAAACAATGGTAAAACAATGATCGTCAATGAAACATCGTTTTACCATCATTTTACCATTGTTTTACCATCGTTTTACCATTGTTTTACCATCATGTTACCATTGTTTTACCATTGTTTTACTATTGTTTTACTAGTGTACTATAGTAGTTTACCTATGATTTTAGTTCTGCAATGCATGCTGGGATTTTTGAACTTTGCCACACCCAGCGAGTGTAAGCTGTAGGCCAGATCTGATCCAAAATAAAAGCAAATTGTGGCCCAGGATAGGGTCAGTTCCGGTTCATTTGGTTGAATTCTGGCTAATATGTGGTGTAGTGTTCTCATACAGTATGTATTGTGACTAACTAAACACTGAGTTAAACCATAGCCAATGAAGACAGAGTCGTAGAAAGGTTGATCATTTACTGTCACTCTTCTTATTAGAATTTATGGTAAAAAGGCATTCCTCTGTGATGATTTTAAGCAGATGGTTTAAATCAGTGGTCACCAAACTTGTTCCTGGAGGGCCGGTGTCCTGCAGATTTTAGCTCCAACCCTAATCAAACACACCTAAACAAGCTAATCAAGGTCTTACTAGGTATACTTGAAACATCCAGGCAGGTGTGTTGAGGCGAGTTGGTGCTAAACCCTGCAGGGACACCGGCCCTCCAGGAACGAGATTTGTGACCCCTGGTTTAGATTGTCCAAGAGAGCACGTCTGACAAGGGTTCCACAAAGAGCCAGGAGCACTAAAAGGAAGTGATTTAACAGGAAGTATGTCATAACCCAAAATAAAAGTATTACTTTTCACACATGAAGTAGATTAATTAATTAAATTATGAATTTTACATTTTAACAAAGGAAATATGCATATAAAATAATTACATATTTTAAAGTGAAACTTCTCAAAGGGCAACACATGTGGTTTTGCTTTATTTGTGGCCCAGATCTGGCAAACAAAAGTGGACTGCCCCAGAGCCTACATTTCCATTCAGTATGTGGTCCAGATGTAAGTGTCTGGTGTGGGCCGGATCTGGGCCAGAATAAAAGCAAACTGTGGCCCAGAATAGGGTCAGTTCTGGTTCATTTAATAGAATTCTGGGTGATATGTGATATTGCTATGTCTTAATTGTGGCCCAGATCTGGCATACAGGAACTGCCCAAGTGCCATTATTCCATGCAGTGTGTGGGCCGGATGTAAGTGTCAGGTGTAGGCCGGATTTGAATTTTGCTAGCTGGGTTTCATCTGCTGTGCATCTGGCTCAGTTTCCTCGCTTCAGCCATGTGTCAAAACTTGGGTGTAAGACTAGGCAGTAGTCTAAAATTTGATAAGCAGATTGATTCGGTGATTAAAGCAAGCTTTTTTCAGCTTCGCCTTCTCTCCAAAGTCAAGCCCTTTCTGAGCAAGGCTGATCTTGAGAAAGTCATCCATGCTTTTGTTAGTTCACGTTTGTACTATTGTAATGCACTTTATGTTGGCATTAATCAGTCATGTCTTCATCATTTGCAGCTTGTGCAAAATGCTGCTGCTCGCATGTTAACTAACAGTAGGAAAAGTGAACACATCACACCAATTCTCTACTCCCTCCACTGGCTCCCTGTTAAGTTTAGAATTGATTTTAAACTTTTGTTGTTTGTTTTTATGCCATCAATCTTGCTCCTATTTATTTATGTGAAGTTTTGCACATGCACAAACCCAGCAGAGCTCTGCGATCTGCTGACCAACTTCTGCCTGAAGTCCCTCAGTTCAATTTCAATTCAATTCAATTCAGCTTTATTTGTATAGCGCTTTTACAATGTAGATTGTGTCAAAGCAGCTTCACATAAATGGTCATAGTAACTGGAACAGTGTAGTTCAGTTTTTTGTGTTTAAGTTCAGTTCAGTTCAGTTTAGCTCAGTTCAGTGTGATTTAAAATCATTACTGAGAGTTCAAACACTGAAGAGCAAATTCATCGATGCGTTGCTCTACCAATCCTGAACCATGCGAGCCAGTGGCGACAGGGGAGAGGAAAAAAAAACTTCACCTGATAGGAGTGAAGAAAAAAAACCTTGAGAGAACCAGACTCAGTTGGGCACGACCATTTTAATTTCTCCGCTGGCCAAAAGTCTTGTGCAGCACTTCAGTCACCGCGGTGGAGGCTGGAAGCTGGCCTCAGCGAAGACTCGTCTGTCCCTGGAGCGTCGCTGGAATCAGACTCATGTTCTCCACTCCCCATGACCATCAGTGCAGCAGCAGCTCAGGATATGGCCTGGTCCCGGATATGGAAACCTTGAGATTATCTCGTCGCTGGTCTTGGACCCAATCAGTGACTCTGCATAATCTGTGGACCTCAGGATGAGTATCCCCTGGTGAAAATAGAGAATAAAGAGAATAATTAGCGTAGCTGCTGTTCATAGTGTATATAAGCAAGATGCTAGGTGATGCATTGAGTTTATGCTTTACTAAACAGATAGGTCTTCAATCTAGTTTTGAACTGGGAGGAGGATAAAGGAGGATAAAATTGGGGTGATATGATCATATTTTCTAGACCTGGTAAGAACTCTGGCTGCTGTATTTTGTACTAACTGAAGTTTGTTAATAGAGGATGCTGGGCAGCCAGCAAATAGAGCATTACAGTAACCCAGCCTCGAAAACATAAAAGCATGGACTAGCTTTTCTTCATGAGAGATGGATAGCATATTTTGTAATTAAGCGATATTTCTCAGATGAAAGAAGGCAGTTTATGTGACATGGGATATATGGTTTTCAAAAGTTAGATTGATGTCTAATATGACACCCAGATCTTTTATAGTAGAGCTAACGCTAACTTTGTATCCCTCTAATTGTAGATTGAGTTGCGAGATCTGCTGTGTACAAGATTTAGGCCCAATAAGTAATAATTCTGTTTTGTCGGAGTTTAAGAGAAGAAAATTGTTGGTCATCCAGTCTTTAATGTCTTTGATACATTCAGTTAGTTTAGACAGTTCAGACGTCTCGTCAGGTTTAGTTGAAATATATAATTGAGTATCATCTGCATAGCAGTGAAAGCTGATCCCATGTCTTCTAATAATATCTCCCAGTGGTAACATGTAAATTGTAAACAGCAAAGGGCCTAAAACTGATCTTTGAGGCACCCCATACTTTACTGGGCTGACTTGTGAAGGCTGTCCATTAATATTCACAAACTGGTAACGATCAGTTAAGTATGACTTAAACCATTGTAGAGCCTGTCCCTGGACACCTGTAGACTTTAAGCGATTTATGAGGATAAGATACAAGCAGTGGGGTGATCGCTCTTTTGCAGTGGCAGGTCCTAAACTCTGGAACACCCATCCTACTGAGCTTTGTATAATCCCGGACCTGCCACTTTTTTAGCTTAAGACCCACTTGTTTAAATTGGCTTTTAATGCATAGCACTGACTCTTTGTTATGTTTTAATGTTTCTTGGATTTTATTGATATTTTTTTTGTATTGCTTTGCATCGTATCCTTTTCTATTGTGTTCTATAATTTGCTTTAACTTGTGTAAATCACTTTGGTCAACCGTGGTTGTTGTAAAGTGCTATATAAATAAAAGTTGATTGAAGTTGATTAATAAAGGTTAAAATATCTTAAAAAAATATTTCTATATAAAAAAAGATTTTTTTTTTCAATAAAGGGCAAAGGTATTTCAAATAAGGACAATTTTTATAAACCAAGATTGTTTGTGGACTTTGTACTAAGGTAAGGACAAGTCACACCTTACAGAACCAGGAGTTGATTACTTATTAACTCATCATCTGAGATAACTTGTGTTGTCAAACACATATGAACCTATCTAATCGTGTGTGTACACACAAGGTAAGATGGCAGAAGCTAGTTTTTCTCAGGACCAGTTCAGCTGCTCAGTGTGTCTGGATATCTTAAAGGGTCCAGTGACCATTCCCTGTGGACACAGTTACTGTATGAGCTGTATTACAGACTGCTGGGATCAGGAGGATCAGAAGCAAGTCTATAGCTGCCCTCAGTGCAGAAACACCTTCACTTCAAGACCTGTGTTGTGTAAGAATGTCTTGATTGATGAGATGGTGAAGAAAGTAAAGAAGACTAACTTACAAACTGCTTGTCCTGCCCATGCTCATGCTGAACCTGGAGATGTGGAGTGTGACGTCTGTCCTGGAAGAAAATATAAAGCTGTCAAGTCATGTGTGGAGTGTCTGAACTCTTACTGCCGAAGCCATCTTGAACAACACGAGAATCTGTTTAAAGACAGGAGACACAATCTATTGGATCCCACTAGACAACTCCATGAGATGATCTGCCCAAAACACGACAAACCACTGGAAATCTACTGTCGTACTGACCTGCAGTGCATTTGTTATCGATGTTTAATGGATGAACATAAAAACCATGAAGCTGTAACAGCTGAAGCTGAGAGGACAGAGAAACAGGTATGAACTGAATTTAGTTATTATTGTGCTTATAATTCTGACTTATACTGTACATGCTAACGCACAAATCTACATTGTTATCTTGGTGTCATTTAAAAAGGAATGTAGTAGTAAATAATAGTATCATTGTTTATTAATAAATAATGGTATTATTGTTTATTTGTTGTAATTGTATATCTTCCTGCTTTTCCTACAGAAGCTTTTGGGAAGAATCCAAACAAAGTTCAAGCAAGCAATCGAGGCAAGACAGAAGGAGCTGCAGGAGCTAAGAGATGCTGTGAAGTCTTATAAGGTGAATTTTCTAACGTTTGAGGATACTTTTAAACACATTGAAGCTGACTGAAGGTTCAAAGTGATGTGATGATATGTGTCCTGATGCAAGTCCTAATTTTGCATAGTTTGACACATTCCTGTGTCCTATTTTATAATTCCTGGAACATCATTCGTGTTCAAAAATGTAATCCCTATCAAATTCCTACACCCAAACAGAACCCTGTCCTGTCACGGTTCATATAGCCATTGTAGGGATAGTTTACAGTTTGACCCAAAGAATGACCAGTCTGGTAGAGGAAGAAGAGCCGGAGTCAGAGATTTAAATAAATAAATCAAGTTTACTGAAGATAGTTTGCAGTTACATGAGCAGAAGCCAGCTTCAACACTTGCAAAGAGTTCCTAGGCCGCTCTGCTTACAATCACCAATCAATAACAATTATACTCTCACATAACGTCATTAACTGTGTCACACATACAGGTGTTCAAACCTGATTGGTTAAAACACAGATAGACTAGGAAATAGAACACACACACACTGGTTAAAAACTGGTATAATCTACATTCAGGCAGTTATATTCTTACTATACAAAGTCTATCTTGAATAAAAGTAGAATCACTTTAAAAGATTTAACCGTAAAAATAGCAAAATTACTTTAGACATTTTAGATAGTAATAACTATTAGAAATAACAATAGAAACAGTTGATTCCAGTCCTCAGCCATCAAGAGAAGACTGACTGAGAGGATGATTCCTGCAGATCTTTTATAATGCTTCTTAAAATGAGCTGAATCAACACAATTCTTGAGTGTTTTATGTTCAATACACTTAAATTTGTAGATTAATTGAAATGTGTGGAGCCCAGTGTTTATACGGTGTGGCGATAACACACGTTTATAGCAGGTGAACCTGCTTTTCTAGAGATGAACTGGAATTTTGTTGCCATATGGGTTACACTTTACAATCTTTACTCAAGGTCTCCGTGACCTCTGACCTAGTTTGGTGGCTTCTGGAAATAATTATAAAGAGTTAGGCAAATGCACTGAACATTCTTATATTAAGCAACTTATTCATTAATTAAAATCAATTCAAAGTTAAATACTCATTCAAATGATCAAATATATATATTTAATAAAAAAATTATGAGAAACAAGATGATGAGTAAAGGATAAACGTTGGTCCAAGATGAGACGGATTGGAATGCAGAAATCCGAATCCTTCACCATGTTCTCCTTTTGTTACTGTATGTCTGTCGCATGGCTGTGTTTGTTTACCTTTCCTTGACAGAGCACATTCTAGTCAGCTGACCAATCAGTGAAGCCACCTGCAACCTATTATTGAGACCTACTTAAGGACTAAGTTTCCCACCTTTCAACATTCAGTTGTTCACGTCTCGGTCTGCTGTTCCCCATGACTGTTATCTTGCATTCCTTGCTACCAGAGTTGCTGTCAGCCTTTGTTCCTTGAAATTGGTACCAAGCAATTAAGCTAATAAGCTTTTTCTTGCAATTGGATGCCTTTACATTTCATCCTTGTGACCTGTCCGTAAGCGATTGCTGAAATGTTGTCCTGAGTAAAATCGTATTATGTGTGTCAACAGTGTTCTGCACAGACAGCAGTGGATGATAGTGAAAGGATCTTTACTGAACTCATCCACACCATTGAGAGAAGCCGATCTGAAGTGACACGACTGATCCAAGATCAGGAAAAGGCTGCAGTGAGTGAAGTTGAAAAACTCTCGGAGCAGCTGGAGGAGGAAATTGATGATCTTAGGAGGAGAGACTCTAAGCTGGAGCAGCTTTCACACATAGAAAATCATATTCATTTCCTCCAGGTAAACCCTAAAATACAAGACTTGGTAGGGCTGTGGTCAGGAATTCTGACAGACTTCATGTTTTATTTGCAGATGTTCCAGTATATATCTGAACACCCTAAATCTACAGACACATGTGGCATCACTGTCAGTTCCCTCATCCCTTTTCATGATGTGGTAAAGTCAATCTCTAAGCTGAAGGAAAAAGAGGGTTTCTGTAAAGAAGAGCTAGAAAAGTTCTCTGATAGAGGTAAAGTATATTCATTTACTTTTATTTTGTCTGATATTACATACAAGAATGTCTATTTCTTTTAAATGCTTATTTACATATTGATTAAAGTGTTTCTGCTACTTTTCCATAGTGACATGCAATGACATGACTCCCATCAGTGAATCAGTTCATACCCGGGAACAGTTTGTCAAGAGTAAGGCATTATCACACGCATACACTAGTCCAAAAAAATTCATGATGTAAGGAATAATAATGTTAAAGGGGTGGTTCACTACGATATCATATTTTAAACTTTAGTTGATGTGTAATGTAGCTGTGTGACCATAAACAATATCTCCGAGTGTAAAGTAATGCGCAAAAAGTTCAATACAATGGGAGACATTGGATTTTACAGAGTTAACTTGGAAAAGCCTACAGCAAACAAGTTTGGGGACTACAAAAAAAATACATCCGGGTTAATGAGATCATAAACGCTTAAAGTTACATGCATTTATAGCAGAGAAAGCTAAAACGCTGTCCATACACTGTTTCTGTACTTGGGCTTTCAAAGGACATGACACAAAGAGAGAAATGCTTGCAGTTTAATTTTAATTATGTTCTAGAGAATTATAAAAATATATACAGCTAACCTTTTTACAAAGGAGAACTACCAGAATCTCAGTTCTGTGCTGGATTCGGCTAAAATCTACTCCAACCGACGAAGCTGTGGATTATTAGCCACAACCTGTAAGTCAGGGGTGTCCAAACTCTGTCCTGGAGGGTCGGTGTCCTTGGGCCTCATTTATCAACGCTGTGTACACACAAAAACTTTGCGTACGCCAGGTATCACACTCAGAATGGCTCACGTTTGGATTTACTAATGATGAAATGAATGTGGGATTGTGCGCAGCTCCACGCCAGCTTTATGGCTGGGGTACGCACATTTTTTGTGTTTTTTTCCATTGGCGACTCCTAGAGGCAATTGTGTTAAATTGCACTTTACAAAGTGTCTTTGAGCCGTGTAATGGCAGCTGTATGAGACGGGTTCATCTAGCAGGTATATAAGGTTTCCATACCATGCAGTTGACCAGCCAAATATTAAAGCGCAATTTGCAGCGGTCGCCTGTTTTCCCAATGTAATGGGAGCGATCGACTGCACGCACATTGCTATAAAAGGCACCATTTGAAGATGAATTTACGTGAATCAGAAACATTTCCATTCAATAAATGTGCAAATAAAATATGATGCACAGATTTATTAATGATTCCTACTTGTCTTCCTCTTGATTAATAATAGGCAAAATCTGATATGAATGAATCCAGCAGACGCTGGATTCGAACCGAGTTCATGCTCGAACATGTCAAAATATGATGATATGCATTTTACTAGCTGCACCACTCTGACTGTTAAGAGTATTACATCATTTTGCCCCTATACATCTCACTATCTCTTTTTTAAATCCACACAGTGCAATGTTCAGACCCAACTGTGTTAACCGCATCAGCTAAACTCTACCCACTCTATTTTTTTCTTTTTTTGTTAATTCCGGAGGACAAACTTGCAAATAACACCGCTTTTCTCTGGTCTACCTCCGAAAGCAGCACCTCCAATTCACATTCTGTTCAAAGTTTCTCTTTTTGCTTGCTTTTGCTGTTGCTTTTTCGTCTGGTTTTCTTGCAATTTGGTTTTTGGTTTTTTGGCGCTCGTGCATGTTGCACTTAGTTTCACGTTCATTCGGATGTACAAAGAATATGCGTGTGATTCGGCGTACACAGTGTTTCATACATCTGAATTTTTTTCTGCGTACGCACATTTACAGCTTTGTGCGTACGCAATGTTTTAGTATGATTTCCACGCAAGTCTTTATACATGAGGCCCCAGGTCAGTTTATCGCCAACTCAATTTTACACACCTGCCAGGAAGTTTCTAGTATATCTAGTAAGAGCTTGATTAGCTGGTTCAGGTGTTTGATAAGGGTTGCAGCTAAATTCTACAGGACACCGGCCCTCCAGGACCGAGTTTAGACACCCCTGCTGTAAGTGTTTTTTTTGTTAAAATTTATCAATTACATGCATAGACTGTTTACACAGCACTAACACGTGTGCTCATAGGGGCGTAATGTGGCGATGCGGAGCCAAATCACATCATGTTAGCTGACCAATCAGAGCCTCTTAAGAGCAGGCCTTTTGGAGGAACTATTTTCATGTTAGCTGAGCTGTTTATAATCAAAGTAAGATATATGAACAAATAACATGATTTTCTACAAGCATGAGCACACATTGCTTTGCATCTTATAAAGACAACCAAACCTTAAATACATTGTGGATCACCCCCAATTTTACAAGTACAGTCCCCTTTTGTAATGATTGTAATTACACAGTGAGATTATTATCTGAACAAGGAGTTTAGGCTGATTTATACTTCTGCATCACACGCCGGCGTATGCTACGGCGCTGACGCATAGCCCTTCGCCGTGGCCGTCGGCGTCGCTGACGTGCACCTCTCAAAAAATGTAACTACACGTCGCAATGACGCATAGCGCAAGCTCTTTGATTGGTCGACTTGGTAGTGCTGACGATTCTGGGCGGGACCGAGAGCCGTGTGAATGGTGCGAGCCTGATGGAGCGATTGTTTACAAGTGTGGAGTCCCATGAAGGAGCTCCAGATGGAAAGTTTTGTTTTGTGTTTACCTCATAGTTAAAGTTGTTGCACGTCCGCCGGTTCCTGCCTCAAAATGAGCGAGTTTGAGCCACTTGTACATCCCGGAAGTGTTCAGGAAAAGCAAGAAAGTAGCGAAGAAACTCGACACAGAGACACATTAACACCTCACTGCCAACTAGCGCTTCGGAAGTTTTAATGCAGACCAACAGAGACAGCGCGCAGAAGTATAAATGCACAGCCACGCGCGTTGCATGCGCCGTGGGTTACGCCGGTCACTTGACGCAGAAGTATAAATCAGGCTTTTGAGTACAGCCAGTGCTCCACACATCTAATCTGATCTAATCTAATCATCATTCAGTTTGTCTGCAATAACATGAAAAAACAAAACAGACTGAAGCAAACTAAATCCAGAAGAACTTTGACAACATCTCTAAATGCTTAAAAAAACCTAATGTACCTGGAAAACCATGGGCAGGTGTTCAAAGTGTTTTAAATGCAAAGTGTGATCATACCAAATGTTATTTAATTTATATCATTATTATTATTATTATTATCATTAATTAATAATATTAAATTTTTTATTGATAAACTAAATATTGAAACCATCCTCATTTTACAGCACTTTTACACAAGTGCCAACAACTTTAAATAGTACTGTACCTTTACAGGTAGGTTTTTTGAAGCATCTTAGAGATGTTGCCAGATTTCTTCTGGACTTAGTTAGCTTCAGTCTGTTCTGTTTCTTCCAGTCAGTCCAGACAGACTGGATGATGATCAGATCTCTGTGTGAAACTTCTTGTGCAGACAAAAATCTCACTGTACAATTACAATTAATAACAAAAATAATTCATATTTAAAACTTGTATGCTACATACAAATATAAACACAACCAACTTTTAAACCTTTTTTTTTTTTGGCGGTGGTGGGGTGAGTGACATTTGCAAAGTAATGTATAAATAGAAAAAACCATGTACACACACGCACACAGAAATATTAATTTATTCACACACTTAAACACGCACATAAGCATTCTAATAAGTAATTGTGTTTTATCTTCTCTAGGTTCCTGTCAGCTCACTCTTGATTCAAAGACAGTGAACCGTTACCTTCGTCTGTCTGAGGGAAACAAAGCAGTCAGTTTCACTGAAACACCCCAGCAGTATCGTGCTCATCCAGAAAGATTTGATGGGAGTTTTCAGGTGTTGTGTAGACAGAGTGTGTCGGAACGCTGTTATTGGGAGGTTGAGTGGAGTGGAATTAATGGTGTGTGTATATCAGTGTCATATAAGAGCATCAGCAGAAAGGCATTGTTTAATGAAGATATGTTTGGATTCAATAGTCAGTCCTGGGGTTTGTACTGCTCTCCCTCCAATTACCTATTCATGCACAATAAGAGCAAGACTAAAATCCCTGTGTCCTCCACATCCTCTAGAGTAGGAGTGTATGTGGATCATAGGTCAGGAACTCTGCACTTCTACAGCGTCTCTGAGACTATGGCCCTCATCCATACAATCCAGACCACATTCACTCAGCCTCTATACCCTGGGTTTGGCTTAAATATCGGCTCAAATGTGAAACTGTGTCATCTAACAACATAGTAGAGAAATTTGGCATGTTACATGATGTAGCTTTGATTATTTTTATTGGGAATCTCTCACACAAGCAGTAACAATTGTGTATAATGTGTAAAAACACTAAGGACTGATGTACTGTAGCTTCTACTTACATAATCGTAGTCTGCTGTCGCAAACATGTCAATGTAAAGCTTTAACTAACAGTAGGGGGTGCAATCACTGTTTGTATGTACTGAAACACTGAAGCGGGAATTTAATTTGTAAAATAACCAACATAGGCTCATTCTGAAAATGTAGCCCTATATACATTTCTGGAAATTGCTAACTATGTAGACAGAAGTGCGTATGGCTGTATTTCATCTTTAAAACGAACGCTAAGGGGCAGTATGACATCGTTCCTTTTCACGCTACCAGCTGACCACTTAGCTCCGTATTAATGGCTTTCCCTCTGTTACCAGTTTGTCAAGTATAGTAGCTCGTCATGTACGTCAATGGACTTGAGACACAGAAAGGAGTTGACCATGATGACGGGGTTCAAGTTTGGCGAAGATCGGTTCCAGAAGTTGGATAAGACAAAAACAGAATAAAATAAAATTAACAAGTAAATAACAGGTTGAAAACGTGGTAAAATCTTAAAACATTGTAAAGTGAGGACTTTTTTTTGTGGATTACTTTTTAAAACTGTCGATTGGGTTTAGTGAAGTGGGTTTTACAGATAGATTGTTGCTTTTACAAATATGATTGATTGGGTTTAGGTCAATTGATTGGTCAGTCAGTCAGTTGACAGCGGTGAATTAACGTGAAAACAGCAGGCGCGAATGGCACCCATGCAAAAAATGAGATCTGAAAAAGTGTACACATCGGCTTCTGGTGGATTCAAGAAAAAAAAAAAAACGGCAAAAAAGCGTACCTCCTGGGTTGTATTTGGCTCTCTCCAGAAATGTATATAGTGGTACGTTTTCAGAATGAGTTCGAGTTGAAAATAACCTTAACAACAAAATAGAAATGTATAAGTAGAACATTAACTCTGATAAGTATGTTATGTCCTTGTATTTTATCCTTCTTTTCCTTCCAAAGAAAATAATGGAAATGTTATGTGATCTCACAGTTCAGTCTCATCATTGACAACCTTTATAATCTTTAAGCTATTAAAAGGATTTGTTCACCCAAAAATGAAAATGATGTTATTAATTGTTCACCTTCATGTCATTTTATTCTTGTGAGATCTTTGTTCATCTTCAGCATACACATTTAAATTTTTAATGAAATCCTGGAGTTCTCTGATGCTCCATAGACAGCAAGGAAGGGTCCTGAGACGTTTGCCTGACTTTGTTCATGTACATCTTCTCCCTTCAGCTGCGTCAGATAAGGATGCTCGTTTACTCTGGTAAATACAGTGCTTGCATTATGTCATGCTGCCTACAGTATACGTGCACCCTAATAATCTCACAAGTAGTTTTTTGCCACAAAATGTGTTCTTCTAGCTATGATTAGAGTGCTGTATTAATTGACTTGGGTCAATGCATTCGGACACATTTTAAAGCAGTCAAAGAAAAGCTTGTGTACATTGGTTAATAATAAAAATAAAAAATAGTAGATGTGCTTGCTGCTCCAAATTGAACTAAATCATTGGGAATTCTTTAAAAGCTTTACACTCAAAAAATGGATTATGGCTTTAGTTGGTCCAAAGAAGATAACTGTTTAACTTAAACAATTCACTTATGTTTGTCTATTAAAACCAAAAGAGTTGTGTTGGAAAAAATAGAAAAAAAGTATGTTTTCAAATTTAAACAGCTCGCTTAAGATGAATGAAAGTGAGTTGTGTTGCTTCTGCAGTACCACATTTTAGTCAATAGGTTAGTTGTTGTTTCAAAACAACAGAGGAAGGAAGATGCAAACCACAACAATCGCTCTCATTAGATGGGAATCATAAGAGAAAGATTACAGTGAAACAATAGAAAAATGCTGTTTACTATGTTCAATGCACTGAAAAAAATATGGTTGATTTTAACCGTAAAAGTCTGTACAGTCCACAGTGAAAATCTGTTCAACAATCAGCAGCTCATATCTGTACAAAATACGGAAAATAACTAACAGATCTAACCTTTATTTTCCAGAATGTATTCAGAGTGTCTGAATCCTCACTATACACCCTTATTCACTAGTCCCTAAATTAGTCGATTAATTTAGTCCACTACACAGAGTGAATGACCACAATGAGTGAATTCAGACACTGAAGAACAGCTGCTGTAGACAAGCTCAATCACTGAAGGAAAGAACAAAGACATAAACACATACAGACACCGCCTCACACTAAACCAACTGAATTAAAACAGATTAAACACCTCCATTAAATAACAGCATTAGCAGCTTGACTGATTACAGCCTGAACACATTTCTGTCATATCTGCAGGAATATTTGATAATTAACAGAGGTTTATATATTTTTTTGAACATTTTTTAATTTGACCTCACCGTCATGGAGATCAGAGGCTGCTTTAGTTGGGCTCTTGATCCTTCACTCTTCCATCCTAATTTTATCTGGCTGTTATTACTGATTTTCTGAAACTCATCAGTTATAGCAAAAAAAGCAATGAGAAAATATACTGTACTAAACAAATACAGATATTAATTCTGAAAATTTCTTAGTTAAAATGTATATGACAAAAACACAAACAAGAATTGCAAATTTATATTAGTGCTGTTTGTTACAATGCTGCAACTTTATTAAGGGAATTATACACAAAACCTTCAGGGCTCCGGGAACATCTTAAGACATGCAGACATCCAGAATCAGGATATGAACCTCAACCATGGTTGCTAAAAAAAAAGCTGCATAATTCATTCATGCTGCAATGCATGCTGGGTGTCAGCATAGTACAAAACTCCCAGCATGCATTGCAGCCTGAAAAAATTATGCAGCTTAAAGTTCTTACAATCTCTTTTTCTGCCTTTAGCTTATGTTGTTTTTAGGAGGTAATATTTCTGTAGAGTGTTTTGTATAGTTCTGGGTTGTTTTTTATTAGATTTTTATGTTTGGTTTGTCACCATTGTTGATATCTGTGTGTTTTTGAGTACTGCCATAAATCAAACATTCTCATTGTGAATGATGTAATTAGGGCTTAAGTTTCAGTGATTTTATTAGCAAATGTTGTTCATTTCTTACACAGAGCTTACAATATATACAAAATATAGACGAGCAAGTGAGGAAAGATACAATATTGTAATTAATCTCGTCAGACTGTTTCCTATATAAATCTGTCATGTCCTTTCATGCTATACTGTCAGTGTGATGAAAACAACTATAGCAGCCAAACAAAATCTAGTGTTGAAATAAGCAGCTGAAGAGCCCAACTAAAGCAGACGCTGATCTCCATCATGGTGACTTTAAATGAACAACAGAAATGTCATGAAGAGCTTAGGTCCACATGACAGAAATAAAGTCAGAGCTCTGTAATGGGTGAAGCTCGTGATGTTAGTTGAATTGTTTAATGATCTCTGCTGAGATCTTCAGAAAGAACATTTTCATTGTTTAATTATTTTGATTATTATTATTTTATTTAGAGTTTTATTTGGTTGATTTCATCTTTGGTTTCGGCTGTAATTTGTGCTATTCTTTCCTTCAGTGATTCTGCTTGTTCACAGTTGTTCATCAATTCATCCTTTAATTAGACTCTTAACTTCATTACTGCCTGAGTGTTCAACCCTCTGTAGAGAGGACACTAGTGAGGAGTTTGCTCTGGGATTTAAGGGGTTAATTGTGTTTGATGAAAAATACAGACTGTGAAATGTATTTTACGTATATGTATATGGATTTACAAATGTACAGTAGATTACTGGTACTGAAATTTAACAGATTTTTTTAACAGTGTAAATAAATTAAAGCTAAATTATAAATGTTGTGCTGATTGAACTAAACATTACCTTTATGTAAATAACTTAATTTTACTTAAATAAATATGCTTTCTTTAAGGTAACTTAACTCAGTTACATGGAACCTGTTGACATAAAAAGTTTATTAAAGCCAACATATAATATTTTTTTGAGTGTAGTAAGTGAAGGAATGTGAGATTGACAGGTGGGTTGATGCATCGGCATCAGTAATGTGGTTGATGTACCATCCGTTATGGTAAAGAAGGATCTGCGCTGAAAGGCAAAACTCTTGATTTACTGATCAATCTGCGTTCCTACTCTCACCTATGGTCATGAGCTTTGGGTCATGACCAAAAGGACAAGATCTCGGATACAAGCTGCCAAAATGAGTTTCCTTAGGAAGTTGTCAGGGCGCACCCTTACAGATAGGGTGAGAGCTCTGTCACCCAGGAAGAGCCTGGAATAGAGTCGCTGCTCCTCCAGATTGAGAGAAGTCAGATGAGGTGGCTCGGGCATCTGTTTCGGATGCCTCCTGGACAGCTATCTAGGGAGGTTTTCCAGGCATGTGCCATTGGGAGAAGGCCTCGGGGAAGACCCATGACACGTTTGAGGCACTATATCTCTTGGCTGGCCTGGGAAAGCTTCGGGATCACCCCAGAGGAGCTGGAGGAAGTGTCTGTAGAGAGGGAAGTCTGGGGTTCTCTTTTAAGACTGCTGCCCCACAACCCGGCCCCAGAAAAGCGGATGAAAATGAATGAATAAATAAAAGATATCATATTGCTTTTTTCTAAATTGTCTGATTGTAAAATGTCAGAATTTTTTTTTCGTGGTTTTACTCTATATGCATTCAGAATATATCAAATGATAAAAATGTATACGTGTTTCTCCTTGGATCACTGTCAGCTAACTCTGGATTCAAACACAGTGAACCGTTTCATGCAACTGTCCAAAGGCAACAGAGCAGCAACTCGCACTGACAAGTCCCAGCAGTATCCAGTTCATCCGAACAGATTTGATGGTTGTGTACAGGTGCTCTGTAAAGAGAGTGTGTGTGGACGCTCCTACTGGGACATAAAGTGGAGTGGAAATAAAGGTGTGTGTATATCGGTGTCATATAAGGGCATCAGCAGGAAGGGAAGCAACGAACGAACGAATTTCTGTTCAGATTTAACAACCAGTCCTGGGGTTAAGTACCAGAAAACAGATGTAACACATTAATATAATTTAGTTTGCAGTCACGCTCATGTAAAAGTCATATTCAAGTTTTGACTTCATTAATTTTTGTTTTTACTAGTGACATAAAGCACGAGTCTTCAAACACATGATTTTTTCACAGCACGTTTTTAAACATAATAGTTTAACTAATTTCTAAGAATAATTAGCCAAGTTATTGTATAACTGTTTTCTTTTGTGTATAGACAATCAAAAATATAAACATTTCGTATGGAGGCTAATAATAATGACCTTAATTAAAAAAAAAAATAAAATAAAAAAACTGCAAGAAAAAAAAAAAACTTTAAGAAACAAGACTCAATATGACTCCTGAATAATTATTTTTGTTTTATAGGAAAAACTGTGAAAAATTCCTTGGTTTGTTAAAGATTACTTGGGAAACATAATTTTAAAGAGCCCCTATTTTGCATTAAAAAGGTCATATTTTGTCTTCACCATGGTGACAGTTAGTGCATAATATTTTACTAGTAATTTTTCAAGATAGTTGTATTCAGATTAAAGTGTAATTTAAAGACT